AGTGTACAAATGTTGATATACGACAACAAATGAAGAATTAAAGACTGTGAGTTAAAAACTAAGAATAAAGAGCTGTTTGGTGTTCCATAACTATTTGTTTAAGAAAATCGATATGTCTTGAAGACGGTAGGATCAATTTATCGTTGATGGGTCCAAAGATTAGATCCTTTCTATTCCGACTGAACGACTTATTTTATATGACCAGGAATTAATCAGCTCAGATTCACAGTTTTACAGTAATATCTGGGATTCTAGTTTGGTCCAACAATTTTCGTTATTAGCACTTTTCGATACATAACGGAACGATACAATCCAATGAAACATATTAATTAGCGAAGCTGAAAAGCAGAATCTCTTCGCATCATGAGTATTTGGATTAAATAATGAACGAGTTACACCCGATCAATAAAATCTATTTCAGAAACCTTTTTGTTTGCTGTATTTTGTTGAAACCCCAACACAAAATATCCATTGCATTAGTAAGGAAACATTCAAACTGAATTAGTTTTAGCCATTAACTGCGTCTTTACGATAAGAGCAAAGTTTGAAATGTGGGCAGCGGTTTTACTTTTCTGCACAAATCGGGCTAGTAGTCATTAATACTTCGGACGACTTAAATTTCAATTTACAACTGTATGTGTTCTTTAACGTGTTGCCAATGTCATGTTCAAGATCCCCCATTGAACCCCATACAGCACCGCATACTAAACTTACTCCGTCTGTCTATAAATAGCCCCGTTTGAGAACAGACACTAAGCTAGTTGACCGAGGATTTTAGTCGAAAACCCTGAGTATATTTCGTGAATTTGGAGATGTTTATATTCTGCTTTCATGTAATAAAATTGAAAGTGTATAACCGATGTTAACCGGAGTAAGACCACATTGGAGCCACGGTGGCTAAGTGTGTAAGACGCTAAGAATATTTCGAGAATTGTGAGAAGTTTATATTCTGCGTTCATTTAATAAAATTGAAAAGGTTTAACTATTTTTGTGCATAACCGATAGGACCGCATTACAAAACAGTATACTATTGCATTGTTGTTTGATATGGACACAGATCACTAAAGATTTCCCCATTGACTCCAATGTTAATTCTCGTATCTTAGACTGGCTCTAACTTTTTCCCAAATTTTCGTTGGGTAGAACGCTTTCTACCACAGATGGAGCAACATGTGGCAACCACTTGCCCAAAAGCACGTATGAGGTTCTTCATGAAAAACTTGAGATACACAAGCTGGAAGTAGAGACAAGTAAACATGCAATTTCAGGCCCTACATTTCAACGTAACCAACCTCTCAACTCTTGTATCCTTCCGCATCAAAATTATGAATATTCACCAAAACCTGGCAGAAAATGTATTTTCAAACCCTTTTCCTCAATTCTACACCAAAAAGTCAACAAAAATCGCCATGCAAAAGGGGGAAAAAGGAAAAGGGAGAGGAAGACTAAAAATAGCTTTGGCCCTTGTTTCGTGGGTGACGGCGTAGGAATATTTGGTGATCTGTGTCCATATGGCCGGGGGGTGGGGGGTGGATGGTTGAGTCAACTGGCGTGGTTTCAAATCCCCGGTTGTACGTGAAAAGGAGTAGGGTCGCTTGTCCAACCTCGTGGGTTTTCTCCGAGTCCTCCGGTTTCCTCCCACTGCTAAAGACCCCTACGCGCAAGCGAATTATTGAAATAAAGTTGAACCATATGTTGGTCCCGAGATGACCTAGTTTGTGTCGAGTGGACGTTAAACCCCATCTCTCTCTCTCTCTCTCTCTCTCTCTCTCTCTCTCGCTTTGATATGACGGCTATTTAGGGTAGAGATCTATTCTCGAAGTAGAGTAAACAGTTTTCTCTGTACAGATTGACATTACCGTTATAAATTCAAATGTGGCCATGACCAAACCAGAAACCTTCTGCGTAGATAGCCGGTTCTATATTGTACGCGACCGCGAACGCGCCTCTGAATTATTTGTTCGCGCGGAGATGGACCCGGGACGAATATTTGAGAACAGTTACAGTTCGAGTGAACATCCAACTTTTCTGCACCGACTGGGCTAATGAAGACGGCCATACCCAATATATTGTGCAATAGCGGAAATGTTGCCCGGACAGCGACGCTACGGTCTACTATTATTTAGAATTTCAAATGCCAAGGGATCTTTTACGTGCACGTCAATGTGTACATGGGACCTAGGTTTCTCGTCCCACCCGAACGACTAGAAGCTGCCCTTGCTAAACCCTCCGTCCCGCCCCACCGACACGAGTACGCTAGAAGTTACCTGGCTAAGTGGGTAAGACGCTGGCTCGCTAGCCTGGAGGTCGGGTGTTCGATCCCTGCATTGGCCGAGAAAGTTCATCCCGATTTTCCGGCGTCGTTTCCCCTTGTCAGTGATGCAGGACGGAGGGCCTGACAAGGACTGCTGTCAAAAACCGAGGTCCCGTGTATACATTGGAATGCACGTAAAAGATCCCTTGCAATTGGAATTCGAATGCACGTAAAAGATCCCTTGGCAGTTGGAATTCGATATAAGAGTAGGCGATAGTGCCGCTGCCCGGGCAAAATTTCCCTCATAGCACACTGTATGGCGTATGCCCGTTTTCATTAGCCCAGTATAGGGGCAGAACAGTAGGACGTTAAACCCCATTTCATTTCATTTATCAGCCAACACTAGGGGGGTCAACGTCTTACTCATTGAGCCAGCGCGGCTCCTATTAGCCAATAAAAGTGTGCCAAATCCTCAATGCCCGTCCCACCCCATCCCAGTATTGCCGCCTTTAGTACGAATGGTGACCGAACGGTTTCGGGTTTCGATTCTGATGCTAGCTGAGTAAGTTCCGTGGGATTTTCCAGTATGACCCCCCCCCCCCCTTTTCAGTGAGCCGCACTGGCTCAGTACTCTGTAGGTCGGACATTCGATCCCTGTATTGGCCGAGAAAGTACATTGTGATTTTCTGGCGTGGTTCCTCCTTGTCACTGGTGCAACAAAGAAACCTGGCAAGGGACAATGTTTAAATCGTTCGTATGGGACGAACAACCGAGGTCTAGTGTATACATTGGCGTGCACGTAAATGATCCCTTGGCAGTTGGAATTCGATATAAGAGTATGACGTGGTGCCGCTGTCCCGGCAAAATTTCCCATATAACACACTGTATGGCGTATGCCCGTCTTCATTAGCCCAGTCAGAACAGAACAGTAGGGAGTTAAACCCCATTTCTGTTCATTTTCATTTCTGAATATAACCGATGTATTCAAATGCATGAATTGCCAGGCAAATCTGAGGCGATATAATTAAAATGTGCAAATTATATCGCAGGCAGTGGTGCAGGACGAAGGACCGGGCAAGAAATGACATCCTAGCATACTGTCAGACAATCTGATTAAAATACAGATCTATATTTCGTTTCGTTTTTTTTATACTTTCGATGGCCTCTACTACATGAAGATCTGACAAGTTATAGCCATAGGTCACGTCAGGGGTCAAAAGACCGACTTATGACCCGATGATGTCAGACATTTGATTAACAAATCAGCATTGATGTTACTAGTGGATTACCCACAGTTCCGTGCAAAACACGCCTAAAGTTCGCCGTGACAGACCGTTTCATTGGCTTATCCCTGACACCATTCAGAACACGAGTTAAATAACAACTCTTCCAGACCCAAGTGTAGTAAAGACAAGTAAAACGAAATTTTGAACTATAAAAACGAAACGAAATAGGATCTGTGTTTAACCAGATTGACTGTAAGATGACGTATGTCAATCTTCATTAGCCATGTTGCACCTGTTCCGCTAGCTCAAATGTACCCCTACAAGAACGCTGCATGGTATCCTCCCATGTTCATTAGCCTTGTTAATCGAGAAATGTTTAACATCATTTCACTGTCATATCTCTACCGCATGTTTATCATCAACTACAAAATCGGCCAATTTCAGTACTGGCTAACTACAAAATCGGATGAGTGTAAACCCGGCTTAAGATATCATCGTTTCATTGGATTCATTAACCCCCTGGATGGCACCAAACCACTTTCAATATCGGATAACTACAAAATCGGATGAGTGTAAACCCGGCTTAAGATATCACCGTTTCATTGGATGTATTAACCCCTGGAAGGCACCAAACCACTTTCAATATCGGCTAACTACAAACTTGGATGAATGTAAACCCGGCTTAAGATATGATCGTTTCATTGGCTTTATTAAGCCCTGGATGGCACCAAACCACTAATATACTTGACCTTTATCCGTGATGGTCTATGAATTATGCATTAGCTCACCCAGCGGCCATGAGGCAGACAATCATGATAAGAAAACATTAATATCATAAATATAACAAATATAAACGTTAGCTATGTCAAATATCCAACATGGGGTATGTTATCAATATTGATGGAATAGATTTCCTCAGCATTTAAAAAGCAGTCATCAGTCCAGTTGTGCAAACAGGAAAGTCATTTTAGTGTGTTGGTTTCTGCAGAGATTATTTCGGAATCGATAAAAGATTTGCCAAATGGAATAATTATTTTATCGGATCTGTGTCATTGGTACGAGTGTGTGTGTTTCGTTAGAATACAGGATTCCACTTTTCGTATTAAATAGTGTGAATTGGGAGGGGACGGGGCCCGCCATCATCGTTGAAGTTCCTAAAGCGCACCCATTGTGGTTTTGATACTACTCTTGCAGGTGAAAACACATCTTGTTATTCAGTGCAGAAAATGTTGTCAATGGTATGATTTTTAGAGTGATATATTGATAAATTATTAGAACACTTCCCACACTATCCTCACTAACCTCGTGGGTTTTCAAATGGGTTCTCTAGTTTCAGTCGCATAACTGGACATCTCAAACCCAACAGTCGCACAGGCAACCGTACGCGTACAAGATGGGAATTAAAACCACGTCACTTGACTCAATGACATCCTTATTAGACCCCCCTGGATCCTTTTCCCCGGGCTCTCCCCCGTCTCTCAAAACGAAAGAAAAGACAATAAAAGTTTAGATGCCATCGATGATTTATTAATCCTAATACATGTACAACTTTTATGTGAACTTTATATACAAGAAACAAACTATCAAGATTCGGATTATTATATTCTAGCACTGTTCATCATTTTGTATAATATAAAAATAATATAATACACAATGGGTTTTGACATTATAATACAATTATTTAAACGATTTTATCGTCTTGAGATTATATACAATGTTTACACGAATGATATACGAATAACAAAATGTAACTGAATCCGATTTATTTAAGTACAAATTGTAACAGATTGTGGTTTATTTAATAAAATACAAATTTAACATAATCCGATTTATTTAAGAAAGTACAAAATGGAACAGGATCTGATTAATTTAATAAAGTACAAATTTAACAAAATGCGATTTCTTTAAGAAAGTACAAAATGTAATAAATCTGATGTATTTAATAAAGTACAAATTGTAACAGATTCCGATATATTTAATAGAGTACAACTTTAACAGAATTCGATTACTTATTTAAGAAAGTACAAACTGTATTGAACCCGAGTTCATTAAGCATAAAAAAGTAACAGAATCCGATGTTTTGTTTAAAAAAAGAGTACAAATTGTAACAGGGTTCGATGTATTTAATACAGTACACACTGTAAATAATCCGGTTTATTTAAGAAAATACAAAATGAAACTGTAATGTTTGAACAATATATTGAACAATATATTACTTGGCATTTTTAGCCAAAACATATCTGAAAAGTGTTCTCTAAATACTGACTGAAATAAAAATCACACAGGATAATACCATCCTGGCGTTGATGTTCATAGATGTACATAATAATTATAAGATAAAGAAGATGACCGCCTGAAGGGAATAGAAAGTAAAATGAACTTCAGATTAATTTTAAATAAAAAAAAAAACATGTCCGATTCTTGTACTGACTGAAATAAAAATCACACAGGATAATACCATCCTGGCGTTGATGTTCATGGATGCACATAATAATTATAAGATAAAGAAGATGACCGCCTGAAGGGAATAGAAAGTAAAATGAACTTTAGATTAATTTCAAATAAAAAAAAAACATGTCCGAGTCTTTTACAATTTTTTTTTTTTTTTTTTTTTGGTGCCTGGACCAAGATGAGGGATTTTGAATTGAAGCTACATCGTGTTTTTGTACAAACATGGCGCTATATATTTACCATATGTCATCATCGACATGAAAAGAAAGTTCTAATCTCGTTACAAGGCAGATTTCCGTGGGATTTCTTTTTTTGTAAACTTATAAATATGTGGCTGCTAGTAGACAATATAATGATTTGTTGGGAGATTCTACAACGCCGCGTTTACGTACTTGTGGGTCTTGTGGAGATAATTATTTAGTTGGCCTCAAGTTTATAGACCACGGGCCATACTCAGGGCCCTATACATATTGTAAGGGGCCCATACTCAATGCTCTATACTATACTTATAGCCGGTGTAGAGGGGGAGGGTCTCAGTTCGGAGCGCGGGGGTGGGGGGACTATTTGCCAGAATATTTTCTTTGTTACCCGAATTTTCAGAATATATCAATCATTAACTAAAATGAGTTTTCTACAAAGTTCTATTAAGTATTATAATATTCACAACGTAAACCGCGAGCGATTTCTTTTTACAATTATACATTTATATTTCTATGATATATTGTCTCATTCCCGGATGTTTGTGCCCGAACAACGGAAATACATTGCCCGAAAACTGGACGGTTCACCGAATCTTCAGCAGCCCCACCCCACCCCTCTGCCTATATTCATTGCACATGGGCCATTGTGGTTTTGAATATAGTAAAATACCCGGTATATACATGAAACATGGTTACACACTGGCACGCTGTGTGACAAATTAGTAGGGGGGGGGGGCAGAAGCCCGTGGGCCAATGATCTATTATGCCTACTGCTATTGGCGAATCTGGTCGAAAGATTCTATAAGACAAGTTAAGTAGTTTATAGTATATTATATCATAAACACAATAAGCAACAATAACAAACAAAACACATAGCACTTTATCATCGAAAACAAACAAAATAAACTGAAATGATAGTAGAGTATGTAGGGTAATACAAAAGTATGATATGGAATCAGACCACCAATTCATTTTTATTTATAATCCTTCTAGTTTGATTTCCTTAAACTGAGATTTTAAATGTCATTATCCACTAAGTTTGAAACACACTGAGACGTCAAATCCAAATTTATCTGTAAACCATTGTTGATTTTGAATTACTAACGAGATCTCTAGCGAGCATGTGATATCCAGTTTAAAAAGTTCTCCTTGGAGACACTGTATTACTGATGGAGCTTGACTGAAAAATATAATACATACACATGAATAATAAGTATAACATATGATTATCATACAACGAGTCGACGTTTCTTAAACTCCACAAGTTTATTTTAGCCAAATAGGTGACTAGGTGGTTAAGACGCTGGCTAGCTAGCCTGGAGGTCGCGGGTTCGATCCCTGCCTTGGCCGAGAAAGTTCATCGGGATGTTCCGACGTTGTTTCCCCGTGTCAGTGGTGCAGAACGGAACGCCTGGCAATAACAGCTGTCTAGTCCTTCGGATGATACGAAAAACCGAGGCCCCGTGTATATATTGAGATCCCCTGGCAGTTGGAATTCGATATAAGAGTAGGCGATAGTGCCGCTGCCCGGGCAAAATTTCCTTCATAGCACACTGTATGGCGTATGCCTGTCTTCATTAGACCAGTATAGGAGCAGAACACAAGGACGTTAAACCCCATTTCATTTAGCCAAATAACGCAAATATTTTTTTTTACGTTATTCGTTATATTCTATATTTAGCTTAAACGTACATTATGCAAGATCTAAATCTGCCAAATGCAGGTCTTTCTTTAGGCCTGAAATGCTATCTAAATTATTAATTAGACATTAATTATAACTTATCCAGATCATAATCAACTCTTGATATTTACTGGATTATGATGCCATTTGCTGCTCGACTTCCATTCATAATTTAATAATGAAATGGATGATCGAGACTATGTTTTTTTTTTATCGTACAGTCTTTAGTAATGATAATCGAGGCTAGGTCGCAATTTCAATTGCTTAATTCTCGGGTTCATACATGGTTTTCAATAGAATTTTCACCTCCATATTATTATTCCAGTTCAATTACTAAATAATATTGAAACAATTTAAGATTATTTTTGTAATTTCAAAATATTTTGTAACCGCAATTGAAACAAAATTATTTGACGTTTCCGCCTACACAATCCAACTGTCAACGTTTTGTACGTGAACGGCAACGTGTACGTAAACGGCAACGTGTACGTAAACGGCAACGGTACGTGTACGACAACTTGTACGTGGTGTTTCGTCCTATAGCTTAGCATCTTTGAAATGATATGTGAAATCTTATAACTACAGTAAATTCCCTTCAAGCATTGTCAGATGAACATTCAGTTGTTATCAGTCAGACATGAATCAAGGGAAATAACTCCAACCCCATTTAAGTAGGATTCAGACCATATTAATTCTTAATTGTAAATCAGGCGTATTCGAATTATTTGAGGTTTCTTTTCTGAGAGACTGAGTGGCTGAGAGAGGGAGAGAGGGAGAGAGAGAGAGAGAAAGAGAGAGAGAGAGAGAAAGAGAGAGATTAACGTCCAACTGACAAAAAGAAACATATAGCTCTTTATAACATGGAGTATTATAACACTACTTACCTACAAAGTTGTTGTATTGTAGATGGATCAGTTATAGTAGTATTAGGTGTGGTATAACACTGGGGTAGAACACGTGATATCAATGGTAATGACGTACAACCAGTAGATGGTTGCCACGTCATACCATCACACGCATCAGTATTTAAACCACCAGTAATATTTATGATGTCATCTCTATTCTGACGTAATACAGTGAAAATATCACTTTCTGTACAAATAATATCTCTACTGATCATTTTCTCTGATAAACAACTCACAAGACCAGGAAAATATCTGCAAAAATATTAAAGATAATATTTTACTATGTGAAGAAATATTTAAATGAAAATGTTGAAAGGACAGAAACCAGGAAGTTCTCTGATAAAAGCACCGACATTACATCGCATATGAATAGTTAATTGCGTTGGATTCAGGTGTTCTGGAACTCGCAAATTGGTCCGAATTTTACATTACATCCGTTATTAGTGAAAGCTACCGATCGTTAAATAATGTACTCTTGTGGCAAAAGCCATCATTAGATTCAATGTAATGATAATTTGCATAAATACAGAAATAGGTCGTCTATATCTTAAACGACACAGAAGTCGAATCGAATCGATTAAATTACGCTCTGATCTTTCATTAATGTAACCTCAGGGAAAAGGAATCCATCAAATTCAATGTAAGGATAAACTGGGTAAATTGCAGAAATTAATTAAATAGATCTGTTATGATAAAGAGAGAGAGAGAGAAATTGGGTTTAACGTCCACTCGACACAAACAAGGTCATTTCGGGACTAACATATGGTTTAATTTTATTTACATAATTCGCTTGCGCGTAGTGGTCTTTAGCAGTGGGAGGAAACCGGAGGAACCGGAGAAAACCCACGAGGTTGGACAGGCGACCCTACTCCTTGCCACGTACAACCGGGGATTCGAAACCACGCCAGTCGACTCAATGACAGACTTTATGATACAACGCGCGCACGCTAACCATTCAGCCATCCAACCCCCCTGTTATGATAAAAGGTACAGGAGCCGGATCTAGCAAATGGCCACCCCCAGGAGGGTAGTGTCATCATTTCATTCAAGGTAGGAAGTAGAATTGGGTAAATGGCCATCAGCAGATTTACTGTAATCTCGCTACAAAAGGTCACCAGTCCGATGGTAGATTTAACATTTCTTTCAACATAGGAAGTAGACTCGATACAAGAGTAGGCCGTAGCGCCGCTGCCCGGGCAAAATGTCCCTCATAGCACACTGTATGGCGTATGCCCGTCTTCATTAGCCCAGGTTAGGAGCAGAACATTAGGACGTTAAACCCCATTTCATTTCATTTCATTTCTTTCAAGGTAGAAAGTAGACTCGGGAGAAAATGGCCATCAGCAGATCTACTGTCATCTCGTACGAAATGGCCACCAGCAAGAGTTTTGTCAAGGTAGAATATTACTCGAGAGAAAATGTCTATCAGCAGATTTACTGAACCGGTTAATACAAAATAATAACTTACTGACAAGCTGACATCTGTGATATTTCAACTGCACTTGTTATATTATCAATGACGTCATCGCAATCTTTGTCAACCATTTCAAAATACGTGGCATTAGAACATCTATCAATACGGGTTCCTGTTTTACAAATATTCAAGATTCAAATATGTGTTTTATGTGCTACTTTGTATGAATCGAAATGTGAAATTCGGAAATCTAGATATAATTCAGTGAATAAAACTGACTAATTCTCTGATGAAGACTCTTATAACACTTCATTCTAGCCACAGGCAACTATTTTAAGCTCCGTGATATGTTGTGAGTAGCAATTATCTTGTAGCCGGATAAACATGTCTATAACCCACTGTAGCTGGATGAACATGCCTATAACCCACTGTAGCTGGATAAACATGTCTATAACCCACTGTAGCTGGATGAACATGCCTATAACCCACTGTAGCTTGATAAACATGTATATAACCCACTGTAGCTGGATGAACATGCCTATAACCCACTGTAGCTTGTAGCTGGATGAACATGCCTATAATCCACTGTAGCTGGATAAACATCTCTATAACCCACTGTAGCGGGATGAACATGCCGATAGTCCAGTAACTGATAAAGCTCACAGTCCACTGTAGCTGGATGAACATGCCTATAACCCATTGAACTCGATCGGCATTTTTTTTATTTTCCAGTGAATAATAGCATTTTGTTGTTTTCCAGCGAATAACAGAATTTTGCAATTTATTACCGAGTTTTAATTACATCTTGACAAGGATTACAATCCGTAGAGGTTAGTTACGATTTCCAGAGTTGACTGTTCTACCCATATGCTTTGTTTATTGTTTTCGAGCGAATAATAGGCAGGGTAAGCTTACTCTTCCGGACACCTGTTACCACTGTTTGTCGTGTATTTTGTACACGAGGAGCAGTCCATTTGCTGATTACACTATTTTGCTTGAATACACTATAACGTTTTTTAGGACTTCGAATTATGTCTTATGGTTTGGATTGTTCGTACTTGGTTTTATTTTCTTATAGTTTTTTAAAACTAGTTTACAATCCTGGGCCCTTATTCACGAAAACTTAACTTAGATAAAATCCAAATTTTAGTAATTTGATTGGATAATATTAGATTGATTTTAGTGCTTAGCCAATCAAAATTGAGGTATCTACTAAAATTTGGATTTTATCTTCAGTTAAAATTTCGTGAATCAGGGCCCAGTACATTTATCTGTTTAAAAGTATGTACGCTATTAAATGCCCATTCAGATATGTGCCGGCGTTTGTTTTTTTTCAAATTCATTTCCAATCCAATACATGGGGATCTATTTGAATGTTCGAACAATATCAATTGTCCCTACAGGTATGTGCGCCGTATTTTGCGGGACGCCACGGAAATTTAAAGTATTAATTTCGAAAACTACATAGAGTCTCCATATTTTTGATCGAATGCTATCCGTCTTCCCAGATATAAATGCTAATTTACCTGTAGTAGATTTGCTAATGTCGGGATAGCTAGAAGTTGCATTACTTGGTTGTTCGGAACACTTCGATAAATCAAACTTTATCTTCTCCATGACAAATGTTGGATTCATGGCAAAATATTTACCAATGTCCTCAACTCTGCATGATGCGTTGTTGTCAATATTATTTAATGCGCCAACCAGACAATTCATAAACATCTCACCTTGACTATAAATGAAGAAAATAATACGAATAATAAGAATAACTAGATCTGTCAGGCAGATATGACAGCTTTCATATTCATGGTCACTTCCTGTCACATGTCACGGGTTTATAAAGAATCTCAAAACGAAAAAGGATAATAATAAATCGGTCAAATTCTCGCTAAGTTATCAGCTAAAATATAAGGAGAAACATTTCATCCGGGCTAAAAAAAATGATCCGAAAAATATAAAGGGAGATAGCTGAGACTTATATTCTTGGAATCCCATTGACTTCCTGTTCCAGAGAAGCTTCAGAAAAATTGATCAAACCTTTTAAAAACAGGAATGATCAGAAAATGGCGGGAAGAAACTAAAAAATAAATGGCAGGAAAATATCGAAAAATAAAGATAACTTTGAATGAAACCTATAGTTTTGCAATCGGATTGACCTCAAATTTAGGTCAAATTTGTGAATTTTGAAATTCAAGGAAAACAATTGTCCAGTAAACAACTATGTCGACACGAAAAACTTCACAGTGAAAATTCGAAATTTTGAAATTTGCAAATACCATATGTATTCATTTTAGTATTAGGAGACGGATTCACCAAACTACGACTTAATGTGTTTATTGTCAAGCCCGTTAATGTGGATTTTTCACTATTTTTCATATTCAATTATACATGGTGACATCAGATATTTTTTTAGGCATTCCTCCACGTAATCAGAAAATGTAATTCCAATATCTGTATTTCACGTTTCGAGATGGTGACACTTCCGGATCGATAGACAATCTTCATACTGTGTGCACCCATCAGCAGTGTCTTAGCTAGCACAGGAAAATCCGGGCAATCTGACTTTCTTTTTTCGATTTTTTGAAAATTTTGATCCTTAATTTCTCCTTGACAATTGGAATTCGTAATAAGAGTTGGCTGTAGTTCCGCGTTTACCACCAAAATGTCCCTTATTGAACACTGCATGGCGTATGCCACTCTTCATTAGCCCAGTCGGTGCACGAAAGTAGGATGTTAAACCCCAGTTCACTTTACCTTACCTACAAAGTTGTTGTATTTGGATGGGGTCAGTTATAGTTTCATTCGGTGTGGTGTAACACTGAGGTAGAACATTGGGGATGGATGGTAATGACGTACAGCCAGTAGAATTGCTAATGTCGGGAAACAATTTAAGATTATTTTTGTAATTTCAAAATATTTAGTAACCGCAATTGAAACAAAATTATTTGACGTTTCCGCCTACACTTCATCACAATCCAACTGTCAACGTTTTGTACGTGAACGTGTACGTAAACGGCAACGGTACGTGTACGACAACTTGTACGTGGTGTTTCGTCCTATAGCTTAGCATCTTTGAAATGATATGTGAAATCTTATAACTACAGTAAATTCCCTTCAAGCATTGTCAGATGAACATTCAGTTGTTATCAGTCAGACATGAATCAAGGGAAATAACTCCAACCCCATTTAAGTAGGATTCAGACCATATTAATTCTTAATTGTAAATCAGGCGTATTCGAATTATTTGAGGTTTCTTTTCTGAGAGACTGAGTGGCTGAGAGAGGGAGGGATAGAGAGAGAGGGGGAGGGAGGGAGAGAGAGAGGGGGAGGGAGGGAGGGAGGAGAGAGAGAGAGAGAGAGAGAGAGAGAGAGAGAGAGAGAGAGAGATTAACGTCCAACTGACAAAAAGAAACATATAGCTCTTTATAACATGGAGTATTATAACACTACTTACCTACAAAGTTGTTGTATTGTAGACGGATCAGTTATAGTAGTATTAGGTGTGGTATAACACTGGGGTAGAACACGTGATATCAATGGTAATGACGTACAACCAGTAGATGGTTGCCACGTCATACCATCACACGCATCAGTATTTAAACCACCAGTAATATTTATGATGTCATCTCTATTCTGACGTAATACAGTGACAATATCACTTTCTGTACAAATAATATCTCTACTGATCATTTTCTCTGATAAACAACTCACAAGACCAGGAAAATATCTGTAAAAATATTAAAGAATTATATTTTACTATGAAGAAATATTTAAACGAAAATGTTGAAAAGACAGAAACCAGGAAGTTCTCTGATAAAAGCACCGACATTACATCGCATATATCGCATATGAATAGTTAATTGCGTTGGATTCAGGTGTTCTGGAACGCGCAAATTGGTCTGAATTTTACACTACACCCGTTATTAGTGAGAGAGAGAGAAATGGGGTTTAATGTACACTCGACACAAACTAGGTCATTTCGGGACTAACATATGGTTTAATTGTATTTCAATAATTCGCTTGCGCGTAGGGGTCTTTAGCAGTGGGAGGAATCCGGAGGACCCGGAGAAAACCCACGAGATTGGACAGGCGACCCTACTCCTTGTCACGTACAACCGGGGATTCGAAACCACGCCAGTTGACTCAATGACAGGCTTTATGATACAGCGCGCGCACGCTAACCATTCAGCCATCAACCCCCCCCCCCCCCGTTATTAGTGAAAGCTACACTGTGCGATTGTTTCTACCGATCGTTAAATAATGTACTCTCGTGGCAAAAGCCATCATTAGATTCAATGAAATCATAATTTGCATAAATACAGAAATAGGTCATCTATATCTTAAACGACACAGAAGTCGAATCGAATCGATTAAATTACGTTCTGATCTTTCAGTAATGTAACCTCAGGGAAAAGGAATCCATCAAATTCAGTGTAAGGTTAAAGTGGGTAAATGCAGAAATTAATTAAATAGATCTGTTATGATAAAAGGTAGAGAAGCCGGATCTAGCAAATGGCCACCCCAAGGATGGTAGTGTCATCATTTCATTCAAGGTAGGAAGTAGACTCGGGTAAATGACCATCGGCAGATATACTGTAATCTCGCTGCAAAAGGTCATCAGCCCGATGGTCGAGTTAACATTTCTTTCAATCTAGGAAGCAGACTCGGGCGTAAATGGCCATCAGCAGATCTACTGTCATTTCGTACGAAATGGCCACCAGCAAGAGTTTTGTCAAGGTAGAATATTACTCGAGAGAAAATGTCTATCAGCAGATTTACTGACCCGGTTAATACAAAATAATAACTTACTGACAAGCTGACATCTGTGATATTTCAACTGCACTTGTTATATTATCAATGACGTCATCGCAATCTTTGTCAACCATTTTAAAATATGTGGCATTAGAACATCTATCAATACGGATTCCTGTTTTACAAATATTCAAGATTCAAATATGTGCTTTATGTGCTACTTTGTATGAATCGAAATGTGAAATTCGGAAATCTAGATATAATTCAGTGAATAAAACTGACTAATTCTCTGATGAAGACTCTTATAACACTTCATTCTAGCCACAGGCAACTATTTTAAGCTCCGTGATATGTTGTGAGTAGCAATTATCTTGTAGCCGGATAAACATGTCTATAACCCACTGTAGCTGGATGAACATGCCTATAATCCTCTGTAGCTGGATAAACATGTCTATAACCCACTGTAGCTGGATGAACATGCTTATAACCCACTGTAGTTTGTAGCTGGATGAACATGCCTATAATCCACTGTAGCTGGATAAACATCTCTATAACCCACTTTAGCGGGATGCACATGCCTATAACCCATTGCACTCGATCGGCATTTTTTTTATTTTCCAGTGAATAATAGCATTTTGTTGTTTTCAAGCGAATAACAGAATTTTGCAATTTATTACCGAGTTTTAATTACATCTTGACAAGGTTTACAATCTGTAGAGGTTAGTTGCGATTGTCCAGAGTTGACTGTTCTACCCATATGCTTTGTTTATTGTTTTCCAGCGAATAATATTATAATTTTTAAAAACTAATTTACAATCCAGTACATTTATCTGTTTAAAAGTATGTAGGCTATTAAATGCCCATGCAGATATGTGCCGGCGTTTGTTTTTTTTTTCAAATTCATTTCCAATCCAATGCGCCGCATTTTGCGGGACGCCACGGAAATTTAAAGTATTAATTTCGAAAACTACATATTTCATGGAGACTATAATATAGTCTCCATGTTTTTGATCGAATGCTATCCGTCTTCCCAGATATAAATGCTAATTTACCTGTAGTAAAATTGGTACTTCCGGGATTTCCGGAAGTTGTATTACTTGGTTGTTCGGAACACTTCGACAAATCAAACTTTATCTTCTCCATGACAAATGTTGGATTCATGGCAAAAAATTTACTAATGTCCTCAACCCTGCATGACGTGTTGGCAGAATTTTTTAATTCACGCACGAGGCAGTTCATAAACATCTCGCCTTGACTACAAAAAAAAGTAAATGATGATGATGATGATGATGATGATGTTGGATGATGGATGATGGTCTTATTGTTGTGCCGAACCAATGCGCAAATTACAATCAGAAATAGATTAATTACATTTGTACACTAAAATTAACATTTGTATCTTAAAATTAACATTTGTATCTTAAAATTAACATTTGTATCTTAAAATTAATATTTGTTTTACAAATCAGATATTTGGCATAAAACATTTGTGCATTGTATTTTGGTTAAATTTAATTTTAGTTATAATGATAAAATTTATTGTAGAAAATCAAAAAATTAGTCTACAGTTACATTTCATCAGAGACGTACAATGAAAAACAATTCTCAAACCCCAAATACAAATCTTGAAAAACATTTCTCCAAAAACATTTCTCGAAATTCATCGAACCGGAACTAGAAGGGTGGTACGAAAAACCAGGGCCCCGTGTAAAGATATAAGAATAGGCGGTAGTGCACACTGTATGGCGTATGCCCGTCTTCATTAGTCCAGTCGGAGCAAAACAGTGGAACGTTAAACCCAATTTCATTAAATTTTTAATATTCTTACCTACAAAGTTGTTGTATTTTAATAGGATCAGTTATAGTCTTATTCGGTGTTTGGTAACACAGAGGTAGAACACGTGACATCAATGGCAATGACGTACAACCAGTAGAATTGCTACTACCAGTAGATGGTTGCCACTTCATACCATCACAAACATCAGTATTTAAACCACCCGTAATATTTATGATGTCATCCCTATTCTGACGTAATACAGTGAAAATATCACTTTCTGTACAAATAATATTTCTACTAATCATTTTCTCTGATAGACACCTTACAAGATCTGGAAAATATCTGAAAATAACCAAATAGAATTAATACACATTCTTTATCATACATGTTCTGTAGAAAGCCTATTTCGTAAAACACAAGAAAAAGTCTTATTACGTATACGATTGGAAATTCATACTTTATAAGACAAGTATAAGTCATAGTTTGTACACAAGTCAAGTTTCATATAACATCAATATGTCATGTTTTGTATATCCTGCATGCATACATAAGTTATGTCTTGTATAACGTCATGTTTTGTATATCATCCATAAATAACGTTCATAAGTCATGTTTTGTATATGATGTATAAGTTATGTCTTGTGTAACGTCCATGCGTTTAACAGTTTAATGCTTTCTGTTTTTTGCGATGAGGGCGTAGTCAGCTTCAGTGGGAAATAGTCTGGCGGCACCGGCTTATTCCTACGCGTGACGACTAGAAATTTCAAAGTAAAGGAACTAGCTAAATATTTTAGTCCATTATAATCGTATATACGGTATATACGGTATAACGAAATGTATCATAATAACTGTGAAACATAACTTACTGACAAGCTGACATCTGTGATACCTGAACAGCACGTGCTATATTATCTATGACGTCATCACAATCTTTATCAAGCATTTCAAAATATTTGATATTAGAGCACAAGCTGGTACTGTTGACGGATGATGCTAAAAGGGAAAATATTAAAAGAAATATTAAAATCTACAGGCACCTTGTAACAAATAAATTACCACCCTTGTGGAAACACGGTTTCAATAATGCCGATAATAATTATTTCATTATAAGGAGGTAGTATGTGTCGTATTTAGATGAGTTGAGTTTATTATGGATAACATTGGATCGTATTAGATACTATCCAATGATACTATTGAATAATGGTAGGTCATATTGGATACTATTGGGTTGTATTTGGTAATTTGAATGTGTATATAGGGTAATATTGGTAGGAAATAGGATAATATTGGTAGGTAATAGGATAATATGGTATCGTATTGGATAATTTATTGGATAATATAAGGTCGCATTGGATAATATTGTTTCGTAATGGATAATATTGGTTGGTATTCGATAATATCGGGTCTAATTGGTCAATATTGGGTCGTATCGGATAATAGTGGGTCGCATTGAATAATATTGTGTCGTATTGGATAATATTAGGTTGTATTGGAAAATAATGGGTCGTATTAGATAATATCGGCTAGAATTGGTTCGTTTTGGTTTGTATTCGGATAATATTTGGACGTATTGGATGCTATTGGTAGCATTGGATCATATTGGGGTTGTTTTGGTTGGTATTCGGAAAATATTGGAAAGAATTGGACAATATTCGCAGGCACTGGACAATATTGTGTGGTATTGGATAATATTGGATCCTATTTGGGCGTGTTGGATAATATATTATGTTGGATAATATTATGTCGTATTGATTAATATTGGGTCGCATTGATTACTATTGGGTGGGATTGAGTAATATTTGGTCGTATTGAATACTGTTGTATTGTATTGGATACTATTGGTTGGTATTGAATAATATTGGTTTGGATTGAGTAATATTGGGTCGTGATGGGCGGTATTGGATAGTATTGTATAGTATTGCGTGAGCAGTTTTGATGAAATCATCTTTCTCTAGCAGCAGTGACAATGTACGCCATGAAGCAACTGAACAAGAAAACGGTTACAAACCTTGCCCACTACAGGTAACTGTTGCGGTATTATACTGACAAACTCTATATCCATTCATCCACGATTCCATGACCCATTCACCCTCTAAGCAAGCCTGCAGATTTATGGGACCTTGGTTTTTCGAACTACAGATATAAAATGAAATGAAATGTGATTGAACGTAATTAGACATTAATTAACATATCCAGACCATAATCAACTCAAGATGGTTATGCTAGCCTACGATCTTTAGTTGATTATGATCCGATTTACAGCAAAACTTTCCTTCACGATTTAACGATTAAATGGATAATCGAGACAATGCTGTTTATCGTACTGATGATCGGGGCTAGGAGGAAATTTCAACCGCTTAGTTCTCGGTTCATAGTGGATCAATTTGAATGAAACTTTCAGCAAATTGCCTTTACATTATCTAGTTTTTAACTATTATAGTGAGAACTGTCAACTCGTTATCGAATGTATCTTTAAATGCAGAGTCACATCTATGATAGATAGAAATGAAAATAAACAAAAATGGACTCACCTCGGACAGTAGAACCCTATTTTCCATGCCTCCTTTAAAATAGTGCTATCTCCACTGTAGTATTGTCCTCGCTCACCATCATTATAACCAAGATGCTGACATACTATTCTGGCATCTTCGGTCGAAAAATAGTCAGGATCACAAAAATAGGCAGTCTTGTTAGCCCTGGTAACTAAGAGTCGCCCGGATGAAGACCCACCTTCTATAGAAAGCTCAAATTCTGAAAAAAGGAATGTACAACAGCTCTACAAATGTTTAATAACTATGTAAATATTATTTAAATGTTTTAGTTATCATTTAAATACACTCCGCCCGATTATAGGGTTCATATGCCCCGTTATCCCATTACGTCAGAGCTGATACAATTTACGACGGCTTGCCTAGAGGTAAACTGGCAATGTCATAGACAATATTCCCACTTCTCCAGATGACAACATGAAGATGGCACGTTATTCGGGATTCAGGATTCCAATAATCAGCCAGCTCTGGCCTACTCTTATATCGAATTCCAACTACCAAGGGATCTTTTATGTGCACGCCATTGAATACATAGGATATTGTTTCGTCCACCCGAACGACTACACAGCTGTCTTTGTCAGATCCTCCGCCCTGCACCACTGACAACGGGAAACCACGCCGGAAACTGCACATGTAACATGTCTCCGTTGACCCGTTAAGTCAGAGCTAAGTTATAACAGATTGGTTTGACGTATTAAACAGCATTGTCCAAGACCTAAAGCTACACCTGGGGATTGAGTTATAGTTATACCATGGACCCATGGTTATAGAATAATGAAAACTACAAATGAAAAAATACAAAATACACTTGTTATCACCACGGACATACTGTCTTTTGATCCAAATATACTCTTCCAAAAAAAGTAGGGGATATTCAGAAACAATACAAATTACTTGCTATTATTATTAGAGGTAACCAGTGTATGTTAATAACAGGCTAATTGCCTACACATGAACTTAAACCGTTCATATGGGCGGCTTATCTGACGGCCCCATTTCACTCGCAAAGATGTACACTGTCAAAAGTGAAAATGGACGTTTTTGATTTTTGTCTTAATAATTAGTAATTGCTCCACCAATCCTCAGACATTCAGCAATTCGTCGTGGCATGCTCCTAATCAACCGTCCAATCACGATTTGGGGCAATCTGACCCACTCTTCTTGCAGTGCCATGGACAATTCTTGCAGTGTTGTCGGTTGACGTTGACGTCGACGAACACGTCTCCCGATCACATTAAACGTAACACACTAAAACAAAGATACGTTAAACAGGAATTCTTATGCAAGAACCGAGAGGACAGCAAACGTGGATAGGATAAACCAGCAAGCGGCAGTTTTCATCAACTCTTCCTTGAAGTGTCAAATTTGACAATGAACCCCTCCCACGTGTATGACGCTATTGCGTGTCGCATGTGCAGCTCAGTGGTTCTGTTGGGGCGATAAGTTCTTCATCTGTGAACATACTCTCAAAGCATGTCAGGTGTCCATGACTATTTATCATATCACAACCTGCATAGGTATTTGCATTTCAATATCCCCAATTGTTTTTTTGTTGTTTTTTTTGAATAGTATATTTAGAGCACCATTCACTGACAAGGGAAAACACGCTTGAAAACCCTGGGCAACTTATGCGGCCAGCACCGGGATCAAACCCCGAGACCTTCTGTCAGTAAACAAGCGACTTACTAATTGAGCCACCGTAGCCTATGGCCTGAAAACCCAGACTGAGCCAGTGACTTACTCATCCAGCCACTGTGAGTTAAAAACTTAAAAACTAATCAACGGTAATTCAATATTTAAAAATTCACTTACTGTCATTAGGTTCCAAACATCGAACAGCAACATCGCTATAACAATAAGAATCGGTGGTATTGCCCATACGACTGCTATCACAATCTCTGAGATTAGTTTCAGAACCAAGACACTTCATAGCTGGGAATAGTGGTCGTCTTTCATCCGAATATTTGGAGTTTTTAGTTACTCCTCCCTCAAAACCACGTGACCGACACAATACGTCTGTCTCTGTCTGATTCCACAGGTCGTTACAAACCGAGCCCCATACATTATATTTCTTGATTAGAACTCGACCATCTGGCTGGATCACAACGTCTTGGATTTCATCTAAATGGAACATTAAGTTATGAATGACAAAGAAAAAAGACACTTCACGCAAAATAGAACTCGTCCATCCGACTGGATTGTCATATCCCGGCGTCCATCTAAATGAACAAATAAGTTATGAATGACACAGAATTTCTATCTGCAATGATGATACCAAACATCAACCGGCTGGACCTCCTGTTTTAATTTGACTTTTGTTATGAGGAAGGCAGCAGATAACCTACCCTCTCTTCTCACGTCAGTGAATTTTAACACCGTGATTTAAAGTGGCATCGCTAGCCTGGAGCTCGGGTGTTCGATCCCTGCATTGGCCGATTTTCCGGCGTGATTTCCCCTTGTCAGTGATGCAGGACGGAGGGCCTGACAAGGACAGCTGTCTAGTCGTTCGGATGGGACGAAAAACCGAGGTCCCGTGTTCATATTGGCGTGCACGTAAAAGATCCCTTGGCAGTTGGAATTCGATATAAGAGTAGGCCGTAGCACATTGTATGGCGTATTCCCGTCTCCATTAGCCCCAGTTTAGGAGCAGAACAGTAGGAGGTAAAACCCCATTTCATTTAATTTCATTTAAAGTGACATTTTTATATAAAGAACGGATTTATGTTTACCTATAGTTTTATTACTCCTTCATATTATGTAAATATTCTTAATTAAATCGGGGTGGGGGGGGGGTGGTGGATGGCCGAATGGTTCGCGTGTGCGCGTTGTATCAAAGGCCTGTCATTGAGTCAACTGGCGTGGTTTCGATTCCCCGGTTGTACGTGGCAAGGAGTAGGGTCGCCTGTCCAACCTCGTGGGTTTTCTCTGGAACATCCGTTTCCGCCCACTGCTAAAGACCCCCATGCGCAAGCGAATTATTGACAGAAAATTGAATCATATGTTAGTCCCGAAATAGCCTAGTTTGTGTCTATAATATCACTTGTCTATAATACCACGTATTGGACGCCATATTTGTAATAAACAACAACAACTACAACCTACCTGACACTGTGAAATTGTCTTGACAAACAATTGCTATTGGTTTAGTACAAAAGCCATATTTTAATGTAAAGGGACAATCAGACAATTTAGATTCATCACCCGTGCAGGTATACTGCTTTCCGGCGTTTGAGCGATATCCTGCGAAGTTGATTGGTAAAGCATGCCCTTGGTTTGACAGATTCAGTTGTCGACATATCACATTGTAAGCTGCTGGGTTTAGTTGACCAGGACAGAACATTTCCCATTTCTTCTCCCGGTTAATCATTTGTACCTCACCCGATGTATTGTGATAACCAGTGTTTAGACGAACTGAAAACAAAATATAAAATTGTAAATACAACAAAAAATGAATGTGTTGTTTGTGTTTGTCAATGAACTAAAATCAAAACGGGTTTAACATATAGTCCTATGCTAATGAAGGCTATTAGTTGGTTTTACGTTGACAGCGATTTTTCTGTTCATTCTTTATCGAAATCCAACTGCCGAGGATTCTGTCACGTATGGTAGAAGTTTAATTCTTTTACCATTATGGAGGGAGAGCGAGAGAAATGGGGTTTAACGTCCACTCGACACAAACTAGGTCATTTCGGGACTAACCTATGGTTCAATTTTTTTCAATAACTGGCTTGCGCGTAGGGGTCTTTAGCAGTGGGAGGAAACCGGAGGACTCAGAGAAAACCCACGAGGTGGAACAGGCGACCCTAATCACGTGTAAACGGGAAATCTTACTTTCCGATCCTTGTGGCATACACCACGTACAAGGAGAAACCAAGCTGATAGATCCTGACGGTTTTTCTCAGCCAACATAGGGATCGAACCCCGGACATCCTGCTTGGTTAACCACCGACTTACTCACTGATCCACCGTGGCTTGTATTTACCGTGAAACAATGATAAACACCGCATAACTATTTTAAAGTGAATGCTGTCTTGTATCAAAGACAGTAGGACGTTAAACCTCACTTTATTTCATTTGCATCAAAAACATTGACATTTGCATGTACTATGGTAATTTCGAGAGTAACACACGTTATTTAAATGTCTGACAATTTGCAAGCGGGTTCAAAACGTCGACGACCCGAACACAGTGATCGAACCCCATTTTCAGCTGTTTCTTAGTTTTGTTATAAAAGACATGTACTTCACCTTCTCCGTAACAGAAGACTTCATGCATCATTTCTCTACCGCATGATATTTCTGATGGCACTGATGCATTATTGGCGATCCAGGTCCAGTTACCTGCATTGCGACACACACTAATAGCCGTCTCAGATCCACTACAATCCATTTCAGATCTCCACGAACCATCACTCTGAAATAAACCAATGTTTCATAAGAATGATTATAGGTTCATCATAATATTATTGGATCAAGTGGCATCTTGAAATCAAATATACAAAGAAGGTCCAAAATCTACATGTCAGAAATGTCGCTTAAGGTCCTACTTTTCTGCTCCAGCAGGACTAATGAAGACGAACAGCGTTTCCATATACCCTTCATTGAGGTTCAGCTGCCAGGGGTTCTTTTGTGTGCACTCCAACGTAGTATTGTTGTCCTATCCGTCCTTTTCTGGTGTGGCTCCCCCTTGTCAGTGATGCAGGACGGAGGCCCTGACAAGGACAGCTGTCTAGTCATTCGGATGAGACGAAAACCCGAGGCCCTGTGTACACAATGGCGTGCAGGTAAAAGATCCCCTGACAGTTGGAATTCGATATAATAGTAGGCCGTAGTGCCGCTGTCCGGGCAAAATTTCCCTCATAGTACACTGTATGGCGTATGCACGTCTTCATTAGCCAAGTTCGGAGTAAAACAGTAGGACGTTAAACCCCATTTCATTCCCATCCGTCCTGCACCACCGACCAGGGAAAACCCGTATGCAAAATCCAGGGGAACTTTCTCGGTAAACGCCGGGATCGAATCCGGCACCTCCCTTGCTTATCAGCCTGCTCCTTCCTGGGCCACGCTCCACATCTCAACTGATGGAAGGAGAAATGACAGACCACCGCTTCCCCACTTTTGAAAATCGGTGGCTTCTTAACAATGTTCCTAACTCTTTAGTTCGCATCGGGATAAAAGATGAACATTACATATTTGTTATTGTTTTTTTAGTGCTTACCATTGCAGGGTCTGTCTGGACCAACCTAAACAAAATAAAAATTCCTACCTTTGGCAGTTGTAAATCTGCGTGATAAATTTCACCATCAGTGTAACCTTGACCTCTACATATAACAGGTGCTAGATTGTAAGCATTAGGTGAACATACAGGCCCTTCTTGTCCCCGGATGTTAACATATACCCGTCCATAGTTAGAACTGACACCATCTTGTAATGACACTCGTGGCACTGAAATATAATATTCATTATTATTGCTACAAAACATTTCTATAATGTGATGAGAGAGAGAGAGAGAGAGAGAGAGAGTTTAACGTCCACTCGACACAAATTAGGTCATTTCGGGACTAACATATGGTTCAATTTTATTTCAATAATTCGATTGTGCGTAGGGTCTTTAGCAGTGGGAGGAAACCGGAGAATCCGGAGAAAACCCACGAGGTTGGTCAGGCGTCCCTACTCCTTGTCACGTACAACAGGGGATTCGAAACCACGCCAGTTGACTCAATGACAGTCCTTATGATAAACGCGCAAGTGCTAACCATTCGGCCATCCACCCCCCCCCCCCTTTTAATGTGATGAGAATTCTTGTTATATAGCCGACCATGGCTCACGTTTGGAAATATTCCCCTATTTATCATGGATTGTTTCCCTTATTTTGAGTGAAGCCCAAATCACTACAATCCCGAAATTGTACAGCACAGAAAACGCTTACGGCGTGACCCCCCCCCCCCCGATCCATTCACTTGATGAGATATATATACGTTTCGATTTTGTAGTTTGCAATTTATGTGTATTTCGCGTGTCCTGTACGCCGATTTGTCTTATTTTTGTGTATTTGGTGTGTCCTGTACGAGGGTTTGTGTTTTTTGTGTGTATTTGGAGTGTCCTGTACGAGGGTATTTGACGTGTTCTGTACGCCGATTTGTCTTATTTATGTGTATTTGGTGTGTCCTGTACGCGGGTTTGTCTTATTTGTGTGTATTTTTTGTGTCATGTATGGGTGTTTGTCTTGTTTGTGTGTATTTGGAGTGTCCTGTACGAGGGTTTGTGTTATTTGTGTGTATTTGGTGTGTTCTGTATGTGGGTCTGTCTTACTTGTGTGTATTTGGTGTGTTCTGTATGTGGGTCTGTCTTGTGTGTATTTGGTGTATCATGTACGTGGGTCTGTCTTATTTATTTGTGGGGTGGTCATCCTGTACTTTCTAATATAGCACAGAGTAGTTTATTTGAGTGTTAACATCAATTTGACGAACATTATGATTAACTTTCACGGCCTACACTCGCCGATCCACCGTAGCTCCTTCAATAAAAATATAAACAACTTAGATTCTTACCATCCGCTTCATTGAAACAGAATACTGCAGCGTCATTTCTAGAATAGGAGCAATTATTGTTCTTATCTTCAAGCTCATATTGACAATCTTTCAGAGTCGTTTCGTTTCCATCACAACGTACATTAAACCACCACTTGACGTCGTTGTTATAGTTATAGTATACTTCCTTGGCCAGGCCTGACTCATAACCTTGACCTTTACAATATACAGAAGCTGCCGTATTACTCCAACCTACGGAACATATTCCTCCCCATAAACCATATTTATAAACCAATAGTCGTCCGTCATATGATTCCATTCTTATTGTATTTTCTGCTACTTCATCTAAAAAAAATAAGTACAGTTAATTTTGAATATATTATAAATTACTAGGTAAATAAAGGTATGCAGATGGTGTTGATGTTTGAACCATATTTATAAACCAATAGTCATCTGTTATAAGACTCAATTCTTATTGTATTAACTGTTATTACACCTAAAAGAAAATGTTGAATATATTACAACTCTTTCAATTACTATCGCTAACCCTAGACCTAGACCCAACCAGTATCCCAACTCTAACCCACAAACTCGTCAACATCCACGTGGCCTAAACCTATTTACATCTCGTGAACTTGGCGAAATCTTTAGGTGGCTTCAATATTTAGACCAAGCCTAATTAAACCCATTAAATAGAAACAAACATGTTTCGTCTCAAATCCTGATTAAAGGGAAGAACCAATAAAATCAACAACTCCCCCCTCACCCCACCCTTTCAATCCTCAAAATACTGAAGGGTGTCGAATGTCACTGAACACAAGGAATTCTCAAATATTTGTTGGTTTCCTAAATGATTCACCTGTTTCAGAACCAATAGCATTCACCAATGTTAGAAATTTGTATTGTATCTTGGGAGGAAAAATAAATCATTCGTCTACCAATAACTTGTATTCGTAAAAAGAAAATGGAGAAAAATAAGTGGTCTTAATCCTGATTGTGTGCTACAAATTACATACTAACCTGGACTATTTGTATTACACGTAATAACAGCAGGACCGGAAGTACAGTTTAAATATTCATATTCTGATGACTTGACCTTTATATCACACGTGTTGAGGTCATCGTGATTAGTACAAGAGTTGATACGAACACCAAGATTAACACTGGTAGTCTTAAATGGGTTATATGGTATTAAATAGCCGCCATTGTTAAAGCCGATCTGTTTGCAGACAGCACCGACCGTCTGATTATTCACATTGTCTCGACACACTGAGAATAAAGTCGGTTTGCCATTAAGTGATTGATACATCTGAACTAATCCTGTTCTATTTTTATACTGGGTGTTCAAACGAACTGAAAGTAAAAAAAGACAAATAATACGTTTAATCTGAATAAAATTGTCACTTCAGTCTGGTTTTCTTTTGCCTTGAAGGCCTACCAATGCCCTCGTTGGTGTCTAATAAAATGACCGTGTACAGATGGATTTCAAAAAGCATGACATATGCTCCTCTTCATTGAAAATGAAAATAAATGGGTTTTAACGTCCTACTGTTCTGCTCCGACTGGGCTAATGAAGCCGGGCATATGCCGTTTAGTGTGCCATGGGGGAAATTTTACGGCCTACTCTTATATATGTGTACACGGGAGTTCCTGGTTTTCGTCCCATCCGAACAACTCGACAGCTGTTCTTGTCTGGTATCTTAGAGTTCCCAGTAGCAGTTACAAACCCGAGAAAAGGCAGAACAACTGAAAGATGAAACAGTGATGGATGTCGATCTTATGAATTTAGATCCACAGCGAATCGCTCCGTTGAAGTATCCCACAGTTTTTAAGAAATTTACAGAATGCTTCCCTTTATAGTACAAAGTATCCCACAGCAATCAACAAATTCAGATATTGTAAAGGGAAGGGATGTGTTTACTATACCCAGTATCCAACATCAATTAACAAATTCAGATTTTGCACAGGGAAGCACTCCGTTTCAGTATTCCACTACTTTTAACAAATAAAAATACTGCACGGGAAGTGTGGTGATTAGCTGCCCAGTACCCTACAGACATTAACAAATTAAGATACTTACTAGCACCGTAACAATATACTTGAGGATAGTAATTACAACCAAGAATTGAATCTTTACTGGCAGGTTTTATACCAAAATTATCCTTCAAACATGCCCCAAACGGTGTATAACTGGTTGGGCAATCCACTTCATTTCTCCAAACAGTTGTCATGGATGTGGTTGGTACACGACCTTTATACAATTCTCCTCCACCAAAATTAAGATTCATACAGAGTGCGTTAGCTTCCTTGTCGCCAAAATAATAACTACTGCACAGATACCCCTTTACTTCGTTAACTTTTATAACAACCTGACCGTAGTTCCCAGATTCTCCACCAACTAAACTGAGTTCATATTCTGAAATACAAGAATAGATGTTAAACAACCACACCATGGTGACCAGAACTCATTTATACCCAGTGGGGTCTACAAATCACACTAAAATAAATTTATACAATATTAAGAATGGAGATTTAGCATCACATCATATAAGGAATCACTATGGTTACGAACTTCACCACCAAGTAAACTTCATACACTGAAATAATGAGTTTCACAATCATACCATAGTTAGGAGTTTTCCCACCAACTAAACTAAATTCATATTCTGAACTACAATGTATGGGGGTTAAACATAACAAATTCATACGCTGTGGGTCTAGCAATTACGCTATAGTTAGGCGATTCACTACCAATTAAACTAAATACATCATCTGACAGATAACGTATTGAGACTTATCTCGCCATAGGAGATTAACCAGCGAATAATCTAATTAAGTGCTTTGAAATAAAACTTGTTGGGGCTTTTCCCACCATCGTAATCTAAAATAAAACGTATTGGTACCTTTCTCCCAATCGTTCGAAGCTACATGCTTTGAAATATAACGTATTGGGACCTTTCTCCCAATCGTTCGAAGCTACATGCTTTGAAATATAACGTATTGGGACCTTTCTCGCTATCCTTAGGAGCTTCATGCTCTGAAATATAATGTATTTGGACCTTTCTCACCATTCTTAGGAGCTTCATGCTCTGAAATATAACGTACTTTGACCTTTCTCACCATGGTTAGGAATTTAGTGCTCTAAAATATACCGTATATATGGCCTTATCTCACTAAATAAATTAAATTAGTGCTCTGACAATAACGTATTGAGACCTTTCTCGCTATCCTTAGGAGCTTCAAGCTCTACAATATAACGTATTTGGACCATTCTCACCATCCTTAGGAGCTTCATGCTCTGAAATATAACATATTGAGACCTTTCCCACCGTGGTTAGGAGCTTCATGCTCTGAAATATAACGTATTGGGACCGTTCTCACCATGGTTAGGAGCTTCAGCACCAAATAAACCAAATTTATCCTTGGAAATATAACGTATTGGGACTTATCTCATAGTAGATTCATATTTTACTAATAGTAAAGTACATACATACGTTATAATATGACGGATTTGGGTTCAACATTCGCATTCCGATTCCCCTCCTAATTATAAACTTATCACTGATCATAAAATTAAATACTTACCATCGTTGTAACATATGGCTCCGGCACTATAAAAAGAGCTGCAATTGGATCTGCTGTAATGCTGAGAACAGTTGGAGAGGTTGTCTTCACTTCCTGTACAATCATAGCTGTAATAAGCTCTGTCATATTGATAATTATACACGTCGTCAGCTTGTCCTTCTTTAAATCCCATCTGTCGACAAGCAACTCTGGCATCGTTATCATCCCAACCATAACCACAGACGCTGTGGTTTTTACCGTTCTGATAAATCAACACATGTCTTCCATTATCTAGGACGATGTCGTTTTCTGGAGAAGAAAAAATACCATTTATGTAGGTTTATGCCGAGATGGTTTGATTTAATGAAAAGAAATGAAATGTGGGTTAACGTCCAAATGTTCTGATCCGAACTGGGCTAATGAAGACGAACATACGTGTACACCATACAGTGTGCTATGAGTGAAATTTTGCCCGGACAGCGGCACTACGGCCTACTCTTATAACGAATTCCAACTGTCCAGGATAATTTACGTGCATACCAACGAGTACACGAGACGAGTGGGCGTCCCTCCAGGTGAGTAACTGTCAGGTCATTTTAATGCATCATGACCAAGGGGAAACCAAACTGGACGAACATTTTTTGCCCGGGTTACCGAGTAAGCCTAATCAATTGCACTAAACGTGACTCTCTAAACAGAAGCCCGGAGAAAATCCACGAGGTTGGAAAGGCAAGCATATTCCTTGTCACGTATAACCGATGAATCGAAACCACGCCACTTGACACAGTGACATACCTTATGGTCCAACGCACACGCGTTAAACCATTCGCACCTATCCCCAACTTCGAAAGCTTACATGGATACTATATGCATGACGTTGCAGAAATAAATGAACAAAAATTGCCTTACCAGCACATTTTCTGTATTGGTTTGTATCAAACGTTTTCATCTGATTTGTTATGTCCTCCTCTGAACAATATTGTCCTAGATAATTTAGATTGCGTTCAACACACGATCTGATTAAACTTTGTTGGCTGAAATATATGAATATCACTTCCTTACTATTTTAGCTAAATTAAACGAAAATAAAAATTAAATGGGGGTTAAATGTCCCACCACTACTCTTCTCCGACTTGTATAATGATTTTAAGTTACAATTTCATATTTTTAAGTTATATTTTTAAAATGTATTAATATAAAGCCCTAAAATAGATGGTATCTATAAACAGTCCTACCTTGTTAAAGAATAATCCTATTAATCCTATAATTCACTATTGCCCTTTGAGAAATTGGCAAAATATCATTTTCAACTTCAAATTCAAACGTTTGAAGATAGCTATTCCATGGTGGGGAATAGGAAACAAGGGAGGTAATTGTGTTATTATTTCCAGTGTGAAGATTTTTGAGTGTGAGAAAGATAACCTATGATCGTATAATAGTGAGTTGACAACCTATTGAGCAAAACACATAGAAATAATTATGTTTTGACTTTCTTAGAAAATATGAAATTGTAACTTTAAATAATGTAACATTAGTATTCATACTAAACTTAGGCTGTCTGTTTACAGTTATCTCCGCTTAAGAAAAGGCAATAAGCTAGTTGACCGAAATGTTAAGCCCAAAATCGACAGTGTTAGACGAAAACACCAAGTAAATTTTGAGAATTTTAAGAAGTATATATACTTCTTTCATTTAATAAAATTGAAAAGGTTTCATTAGTCTTTGGTGTATAACAAATGTGAACCGGAATAGGACTGCATTACGAAACTGTATACTAATTGTTGAATATGGCGGTCTTTCGAGGTAGAGATCTATTCTACAAGTATGAAGTAAGTGGATCTCTTTGTGCAGAATGATTAGCATTGTAACGTCATACAATTGCTAATTGGCATTTTATTTTTTTATTAAAAGTCTAATGATGAAGTGAAAGTATTAGCTTGTTTTCATGGAGGTAATTAAAAATCCATATTGTAAGCTTTAGACAAAGAGCTGACAGGTGTCGCTATAATAGTTAAAATAGTTAATGAAAAGGGAATATGCTGAAAATTTCTAAGAGATGATATGGTCGTTAAAAGTACAGTGCAATATCGATTGTCTTTGCTACCGTTGCTACGAATAATAAACATCTCGATTATCTATTTTTAAATTAAATTATGAAGTGACAATCGTGTCTAAATCGGTTGAAAATCAAAACCATCAGATTATCGAGGGAGTTGAATAAATGTTTAATTAATGATTCATACAAGAGGCCAAACGAAAGTTCTGTAATCGACAGACTTAGCTCTCACACAATGCATCTTTAATTCTATATTCAAGATTCCTAATGCAAAGATACATAGTTTTCCATTTGTATCAATAAATACAATGATTATGTCTTCGGGCCTGTGAGCTGGTCGGGGTTATAGGTCCGTGCTGACAACTCTATTCACAAGGATTACAAGAGTGTACTTACCCACACATTTTGTGTCTTGGTTGACACTTGACCATAGTTAACTGATACAAATTCAAATCTTTACACGGTTCGGCCAGATATATATCTACAAATAATTAACATTAATTCTCACACAATAAAGTTTTTACATAAATTCGTTCAAATCAGTATAACGAGGATCAAGATCATTTGTAAAAAAAATAAGTAACACATGTCCACATAATGCTTAAAACCATCAATTTACACCCAAAAATATAGTTACCTTCTGTGCAGGTTTCAGCAGAGAATCCAGGAAGAACAGCTGTGAATTGTGGATGTCTATTTAATGTTTCAATAACAGCTTGGGTAGAACAGTACTCATTATTCCAAAACATATTAGATTGCACACATCTTACAGTATCTTCCCAATATCTGAAATATTTTCAACATAAATATCCGACATGTTTATTAGACATATAGAGCATCTACTATAATTCTATTTTGATATAAGAAATATCAACACAAGTCGATAATGTAAAATACGATATGAAAAAAAGACGATTTGCAGATTTTATTTATCACCCCACCCTTTCTTACAAGCATAAATAAATATTATTCTTTGGTATAGATTGATATGACGATATCGATCAGCCGAATATGAAAGTTATCACACAAGAGATGGGTGATATATCTATATTACGTACGGACATCGTCGTTCACCCTCTACAATCAATATATCACGATATCTCCTAAGATATGAAAGTTATCACACAAGAGATATCTACTACAGAATGTGTTATTGGGTGAGAGATATGAAGTTTAACGTCCACTCGACACAAACTCGGTCATTTCGGGACTAACCTATGGTACAATTTCATTTCAATAATTGCTTGCGCGTAGGGATCTTTGGCAGTGGAATGAAACCGGAGCACCCGGAGAAACCTCATGCGGTTGGACAGGCGACCCTACTCCTTGTCACGTACAATCGGGCAATCGAAACCACGCCAGTTGACTCAATGACAGACCTTATGATACAATGCGCACGTGCTAACTATTCGGCCATTCCCCCCCCCCCCACACCACCGTGTTACTGGGTGACAAATATATGTACTTACGGACATCGTCTTTCACCCTCTACAGTCAGTATCTTATGATATCTCATGGGATACGATATCTACTACAGAATGTGTTATTGGGTGACAAATCTATTTACTTACGGACATCGTCTTTCACCATCTACAGTCAGTATCTTACTATAATTACTGGAACACTCCGTGAAATAATATGATGTTGGTGTTAACCCTTGACATGTGGAAAATTCCATGTCCGTGCCTGGTGTATTAAAGTCTGAAGTAATAAATGAAATTTCGTTTAACGTTCTACGTTTCTGTACCAACTGGGCGTGGTTTAAACCACATTGGGCGCGTTTAAACCAAACTGGGCGGGGTTTAAACCAAACTGGGGGTGGCTTACACCAAACCAGCCCTGGTTCAAACTGGACAGGACATAAGGTATGTGATTAAACAGGTAGCACTTTTTAAGAAAACATAATATATTAATTCTGGGGATTTATTTACATCATTGTTAATTGATCTCAGGAAGTTGGGGAGGGGGTGGGGAGTATACTCCGTGCAGGTATCCTGTGTCACCTGTGACACTATCTTTATTAGATAAAGATTGTTTACATTATAGTTGGCCGTGGATGTACCAAATAATAGATATATATTCACGCTGGTATCGCTGAATGTTTCAAGGTCAAAAGTATCTGTACCTTAATAAATATAGTATATATGTTATTGTTGTTTTTTAAAGTTGATGACAACTGGTGAACACGTTTTCAGATTGTGGTAATAAATTTTGATTTATAAGCATTAGATTTTATTGTTTATTTGTAAGATGTATGATATTTTTAAATATATTAAAATATCTGAAAAGGTTGGGAATGATGAATTTACTGAATACTTACTGCAAGATTTAACATTTCCGACATACATCATACTGGGTAACGATTGTATCATTGTCAGGCTCACCTCTGGTGTACAATACGTGTCAAACGATTGAAAGGTGGACTGCACGCATTTAGTCAGATTATATGTCCTCCTAGAAATAAACAGATCAGTCCGTTTAATTACAGGTTTGAATGATTTAAAAACATTATTTAGATATAGAGCTGTCCATTTTTGCTATATAATAGTTAAAAAATTGATAATAACAAATAACTATATTGAACATTTCATTTAATTAAAGGTTTGAATAACTTAAAATACATTATTTGTCTGTTCTTGCTATATATTAGTTTAAAAATAGATAATTCAGAATTCAGAGAGAGAGAGAGAGAGAGAGAGAGAGAGAGAGAGAGGTAACGTCCATTCGACACAAACTAGGTCATTTCGGGACTAACACATGGTTCAATTTTATTTCAATAATTCGCTTGCGCATAGGGTTCTTTTTAGCAGTGGGGGGGGGGGGAAGAAAACCCACGAAGTTGGACAGGCGACCCTACTCCTTGTCACGTACAACAGGGGAATCGAAACCCCACCAGTTGACTGAATGACAGACCGTATGATACAGCGCGCGCGTGCTAACCATTCGCCCCCCCCCCCCCAGAATTAATATATTGAACATTTGATTCAAATTACTTTATTCTGAACCAAGGTATCACTGTTTCAAGTTGTTGACAAGATGTGTGCAAAGATTGTTTATTATCGTTACAACGTTACTTGTTATTCGAGACATAGCCTCGCTTCTTCAGTTTTAAATCTGATCATTAAATGGCCAAAGCGTTATAATCTACTTAAAATTGAAGCCATCCAATGGTCTGGGCTGATTATAGGCTTCTCATGTGAATAAATGTTTAAATAATAGTTTATACAATTGAAGCCGCAATAGGCCAGTTCACTCAATGACAGACCTGTTGATACAGATCGCACGTGCAAACCATTCGGCCATCCAACCTCAAACTGTCAAAGGATCTTTTACGTGCACGCCAACCCCAGTTTTTCGTCCCACCCGAACCACTCTACGGTGTTTCTTGCCAGGCCCGCGGTCTTGCACGGTAAGTGATACAGATTTCACTCAAAATGAAAAACAAACCAACATTAAGGGAAATAACTCAAGAAAATACACTTACTCGCATGAACTGGATAGATTTTTATAGCTAGCACAGGCATATTTCTCAAGATAGGGATACACCGGTGGTTCGGCGCATAGATTACCTCCCCTTGGAGCAATGACCTGGATTTCAGTGGCGCCTGTTGGAAGAAAGAAATATTAAAATGACAATGTCCAATCAATGAGATCTAGTTCCTAGGAAATCAATCTATGATGTTGTAATATATACTATTCAAAAAAAGTAGGGGATATTTAATTTTGGGGGCATAATTCTAAAATATGCAAATGACTACGAAAAAAGTCACTATAGAACCTAACAGAAGAAACATTTCCAGTTACATGTGACGCCCAAACGCACCAATAGCTACCGCATGGAATGCAGGTGATGCTTGGGATCATCATGGGGGTCCAACCCAAGATTTGCACGACTCTGACTTTGAATGTTACAGTCATTGTGGCATTGAATTCCAGGGTGGAAACATCAGTTTAATTTTTTCGTTCGCACGACGTCATGGCCGCCGTTTCATCTTCCAGGATGACAACGCAAGATGTCACAGGGCCAGGATCGTTACAGGTTACCTCCAACAACAGAACATCACCACATTACCTTGGCCAGCACTGAGTCCCGACCTCTCCCCCCATCGAGCATGTCTGGGACATGCTTGGACAGAGGTTACGTCAACGTCAACAACGTCCTGCCAATGTCCAAGAACTTGCTGCTGCGTTGTAACAGGAATGGGACAATCTGGACCAAAATGACCTTAGACGTCTCATTAGGAGTATGCCACGTCGGATCAATGCTTGTTTGGCAAACAGAGGAGGATTTACCCGTTACTGACTTGGTTGTGATGCTGTGGTAACTTTGCTGTTTGACCCCGGGTATCATTTTACCCTTATAATGGTCAGTCTGTGCCTTACTTAGTCTAACGATCATTTGGAATAAATCGATGAATGTGAACTTCATTTCATTTTGTCATTTGTTTCTTCGTCAGTTTCATTAGGTGACTTTAATAACACTTAAAAATCAAATATCCCCTACTTTTTTTGAATAGTATACTATTCAAAAAAAGTAGGGGATATTTGATTTTGGGGGCATAATACTAAAATATGCAAATGACTACGAAAAAATTCACTATAGAACCTAACAGAAGAAACATTTCCAGTTACATGTGACGCCCAAACGCACCAATAGCTACCGCATGGAATGCAGGTGATGCTTGGGATCATCATGGGAGTCCAACCCAAGATTTGCACGACTCTGACTTTGAATGTTACAGTCATTGTGGCATTGAATTCCAGGGTGGAAACATCAGTTTAATTGTTTTAGTGACCAGAAAACAAATTTTGATATGCGTCGGCTTACCCAAAATGAAAGGTTACGTGCCCTTGGCATGCTACAGATCGGCACAACACAGGCGGTTGTGGCGCGGACGATGAATGTTTCTCAGTCTGTCATAAGCAGGCTATGGTCCAGATACCGTGATACACAATCTGTACAGGACAGACCACGCTCAGGTCGACCAAGGGCGACAACTCAAGCCCAGGATCGATTTATCCGTACCTTGGCCTTGAGAAATCGTGTCATCACAGGAAATCGTGTCATCACAGGAAATCAGATCAGCGCTCGTCTTCAAACAGACACTGGTGTGAGAGTGAGTGGCCAGACGATTCGGAATCGACTGCATAGGGGTCACCTTCGCGCCCGACGTCCTCGCGCGATCCCTTGTTTGAGAGATCATCACATTCAGGCAAGACGTCGTTGGTGTAGGGATCGTCAACACTGGGATAATCGACGCTGGAGCAATGTGATGTTTTCAGATGAGTCAAGGTTCACTGTTGATTTTTTGGACAGACGTAGGAGGGTGTGGCGTCGTCGAAACGAGCGCTTCCAAGACGTTAACGTCATCAGACATGATCGATTTGGGGGTGGTTCTGTTATGGTGTGGGGAGGCATCACTGTTGCTGGTAGAACGGCTTTACATGTTGTTGCAGGGCGTGTTACAGGCCAGTACTACCGGGACAACATCTTGGCAGTCCATGTTGTGCCGTTCGCACGACGTCATGGCCGCCGTTTCATCTTCCAGGATGACAACGCAAGATGTCACAGGGCCAGGATCGTTACAGGTTACCTCCAACAACAGAACATCACCACATTACCTTGGCCAGCACTGAGTCCCGACCTCTCCCCCATCGAGCATGTCTGGGACATGCTTGGACAGAGGTTACGTCAACGTCAACAACGTCCTGCCAATGTCCAAGAACTTGCTGCTGCGTTGTAACAGGAATGGGACAATCTGGACCAAAATGACCTTAGACGTCTCATTAGGAGTATGCCACGTCGGATCAATGCTTGTTTGGCAAACAGAGGAGGATTTACCCGTTACTGACTTGGTTGTGATGCTGTGGTAACTTTGCTGTTTGACCCCGGGTATCATTTTACCCTTATAATGGTCAGTCTGTGCCTTACTTAGTCTAACGATCATTTGGAATAAATCGATGAATGTGAACTTCATTTCATTTTGTCATTTGTTTCTTCGTCAGTTTCATTAGGTGACTTTAATAACACTTAAAAATCAAATATCCCCTACTTTTTTGAATAGTATAGTTCGATGGAATACTTTTTAATTTCCTTACTATTTTAGGTTGTTGTCCAGTGCCAGCACACGCATTTCCCTTACAAAGACCCATTCCAGATACGCACTTGGTAAGAAAAAGTTCCGAAATGTCGCCTAAATAAATCAGTAATTGTTCTTCCATATAAGAATGTGTTATAGTTTATTGCTCTATCCAGTTACAAAATACCTCTAATAGATTATATCAAAGTAGTTACTTAAGAAATTTACCTGAGCATGCAAGCGGATCAAATTTGGGTGCAAACTGTGTAATAAGTGAGTTATTGGCCTTGTATAATGTAAACAGTTGATCCACACTACAGTTATAACCGGTATAGTGGGTAGACATAACCAAACATTGCAGTAAATCTGGTAATATTCTGAATTTATAAAATCAAATCAAATGGGGTTTAACGTATTACTTTGAACAAACCCCGACCGTGACCAGTTATTGAAATTTTGGCAAGGACATTGGTCTATCAGACTTTTTTGAATTCGAGCTGTCATGGGATCTTTCACGTGCAAACGTGTATTCTGGATCTTGGTATTCCATACCATCCGAACGACTATACGTGTTTATTGTTAATTTGTGCACATTTAACATTCAACCGGTATTCATTAATTTGTCAACTTAGCCAAGCGGTAGGCTATTCTGTTAATTTGTCAACATATCAAACTGAGAAAATTCAAACTTTTTCTGTTCATTTGTTAACTTGTACAAATGTCAACAATCAAACGGTGGGCTATTCTGTTAATTTGTAAACTTGTCAAACTATCACGATTCATACTGATTCTGTTAAGTTGTTAACTTGTCCACATGCCAACGTTCAAGTGGTAGTTTGTTAATTTGTTAACTTGTCCACTGCACAGACTACATGTACGTTTTATTAAACTAACTATTCACCTGCATTGTTCTGTTAGGTCTTTTGTTCTATTAATAGCTCGTAAAGAATGATTACAATACAATACGGGATTAATCTCAGATTGTAGAACATTGAAACATTCACTTATATTAGACGTGGGATACGATGGTAACGTACCTGAAATAGACAAAATCATAGACATTAGGAAATGAAATAAAATGGGGTTCAACGTCCTGCTGGCCAAATGAAAACGAGCATATGCCATACAGCAGTGTAATGCGAGGGGAATATTGCCCGGACAGTGGCACTACGACCTCCTCTTGTATCGAATTCCAACTTCCAATATGTACACGGGGCCTTGGTTTTTATCCCATTCGAACGAATATACGTTGCCCCTTCCCAGACCCTCCGTCCTGCATCACTGACAAGGAGGAAACACGCCGGAAAATTCCCGATGAACTTTCTCGGCCAACGCAGAGATCGAACACCGGACCTCCAGGTTAACGAGCAAATGACTTACTCAATGAGTCACAGTGGCTCCCAAAGTCATTAGGAGCAGGTTTTAACTATAATATTTATATCATTTTGAGACAAGCACATGGTAATGTATATGTCAACTTTGTTATTTCTGCCATGTGGGTGCCCTAGGCACCGGTATAATAAATAGAAATGGAATGAAATGAGGTTTAACGCCCTACTGTTCTGCTCCGACAGGGTATATGCCCTACTGTTCTGCTCATACAGGGTATACGCCATACGGTGTACTATGCTGATCTCTAATGGGAAAATTAATATACAGATGTAGCGAGTTAATACAAAGTGTCGTTCGTGACATATTCAGAATATTGATTGTTGGTAGTGTCCCAATATTCATGAATATAATGAAATAAACTTACGATTTGTAGTACACTCTGAGGGGTTGAATGTTATATTAAATTGCTGTAGTAACACTGTCTCTTGTACTAATGCTGTACCGATTTCATCATTTCGACAGTACATTCCAGATGAACCCAGGTTGACCCCTACACACTCTATTAATCCTCTAGAAGAACAAAAATAAAACAGTATTAAATGACAGTACCGACGGGGAATGGGGTTTAACGTCGACCCGACAAAATAAAACAGTATTAAATGACACTACCGACGGAGGCGGGGAGAAATGAGGTTTACCGTCGACCCGACAAAAACTAGGTCATTTCAGGACTAACACTGGATGCAAGTAGGCGACCCTACTACTGCTTGTCACATACAAGCGGGGAATCAAAAACACACATATTAGACCATTCGGCCACCCAGGTACTAACTGAGTGCAATGTGGAATGTGTTGGGTGTATTGTGGGGAGAAGTGGGGGGGGGGGGGAGGAGGTTAGACAGATGCAAGGAATCCGTATCAAGCAGATAAACATTTCGTGTTTAATACCGTAAAGGGTGAATGTCCAGCGTCTCTGATCAACATCCTATACCGGAAAATACCCTAAATAGGTAACCCGGAGACTGGCACCCTAAATAGGTAACCGGGAGCCTGGTCCTCTGTGTGCCTGGGTTAGGGTTAGTTTCCGGTTTATAGTATAGCCCTTCTCCGGGTTACCTATTTAGGGTGGTTTCCGGTATTTAGTGTGTTTTCCGGTATTTAGTGTTTTTCCGGTGTTTTCCGGTATTCAGTATAACACGGTGTTTTCCGGTATATAGTATAGCCCTATTTTTAGCTGTCTTTGAATTAAATAAAAAACGTCTTTCATTTTTAGTTTTTGTATTAGTATTTAGAAACAAAAGACTGTGATGACCTACCCACAGACTCCACCGGGTCTAGACTGGGAAAAACTCAGATACAGAGCACATGTTTGTGATACAGCTAATGACGCCAATACTCTAGTGTCTTTACAGATAGGTTTTGTTGATGGTCCGGAACCTGAAAAAAAAACCCTAAAATGTGGGCTTGATATCTCACTAGCACAATTCATCAGCCATATTAACACTAACGTCCTCTTCTTCTATTTGTGCATAACGTCAAAGGAATTATTAGTGAGCAGAAATTCGGCCGTGTATCTGTTATCACTCGTCGCTTCAGTCAGTTATATAGAGCCGTGACTCGTGTTTTCCTTTGGCGTTAGTCACTTCCGATACGGGAAACCTGTATTACTCAGCTATCGTAGCAATGATCTCTGTGTTAAAAATATATTTGGAATGTGTTTAACCAGTTCTATCACATATGTGATAATGACTGGAACCAATATTGTCCTTTAATGTGTTTGATACGGTTGCGTCTCAGATTACTCGTCGTTCATTTCTAACTGTCCATGTTTATGTTTCCTACACCTGGATGACAAAATGGGTAGTTCTAGTTTTTGTTCTACCCGAACAACTAGACTCTTAACAAAACAATAATGAATCAATAATGTACCTTGATATTACCAACTGTCCATTGTTATGTTACCTACACGAGGATGAGAAAATGGGTGGATCTAGTTTTTGTTCTACCCGAAGGACTAGACTCTTGAATCTTGAAGAAATAATAATGAATCAACAATGTACCTTGACATTTATCAATAGAAGTGTTGGCGTTGTTAAACATTGGTAAAACTGCTAAAGCTGCTGTTAAAATGGGTGATATATTGTTTTCATTACACGAGGTGTTGTAACCTTTCAACTCACTCTTGGCTATCACACACCTTAATGCCGCCGAATACACACTGGAAAACATAATAAAAAACAATGAGAGAAAGAGAGAGAGGGAAGAGGGAGAGAGAGAGAGAGAGAGAAAGAGGGAGAGAGAGAAAGAGAGAGAGGGGGTGGGGGTCTACTCCACACAAACTATGGAAATACATGACAAACATGTTTTAGTTTGGTTCAATAATGCATAGGGAGTAAGCGAGCGAAATAGGTTTAACGTCCACATGACATAAAGATGGTCATTGCAGGACTCACATTTTGTATTTCAATAAGTTGTTTGCGTGTAGGTTTTTTTTAACTGGGGGGGGGGGGGCGGAAGACCCGGAGTAAACCCACGAGGTTGGACAAGCGACCCCACTCCTTGTCACTTACAAGCGGGAAATCTAAAGCACACGACTCGAATCGATGACTAAACTTTTAATCCAACGCGCACGCGTTAAACCATTCGACAACCCAACTCCCCAAATTTAGACGGGACTACAGCAATTGACAAATGAAATGAAATGGGGTTTAGCGTCCTATTGTTCTGCTCGGAACTGGGCTAAGGAAGACGGGCATACGCCATACAGTGTGCTATGAGGGAACTTTTGCCCGGAAAGCGGCACTACGGCCTACTCTTATATCGAATTCCAACTGTCAAAGGATCTTTTACGTGCACGCCAATGTGTACCTGGGACCTCGGTTTTTCGTCCATCCGAACGACTAGAAAGCTGTCCTTGTTAGGCCCTCCGCCCTGCATCACTGACAAGGGGGAACCACGCCGGAAAATCTGGATGAACTTTCTCGTTCAATGCAAGGATCGAACACCCGACAACCAGACTATCGAGCTAGCGTCTTACCCACTTAGCCACCGTGACCCCCACCCCCACATCAATTGACGACCAGCACATAATGGCTATATTGTGATGGATAGCTTGCATACTGATGATCGTGAACATATTTGACTAGTGCCCTTTCTACTTACCTACAGACTTGATCTTGTTGTAGAGGTGACATCATGGATGTAAAGACAGCTGACAAACAGACGAAAGCATTATCAAGACCGCTAATAACACTAGTTGTTGTGGTAGTGGGCGAAGCAATCAGAACTGGACATATACCCTGGAAAGTTCCATTAGCTGGAAAATATACACAATCAGAACAATATTCAGTAGTTGCAATCTGATTAAAACACAGATCCTATTTCGTTTCGTTTTTATAGTTCAAAATTTCGTTTTACTTGTCTTTACTATACTAGGATCTGGAAGAGTTGTTATCATTGACGTGTTCTGAATGGTGTGAGGGCTTAGCCAATGCCACTTTCTGTTAAGGAGAGCTTTAGGCGTAACTTTGGCTAATTCACTAGTAACATCAATGATGATTGGTTAATCAAATGTATAACGTCTTAGGTCAAATACCGCTCGTATGACCTCTGACGCGACCTATCGCTACAACCGGTCAGATCTTCATGTAGTGTGGGCCATCGAAAGTATAAAAAACGAAACGAAATATATTTTAATCAGATTGCATTAGTTGTTTAACATAAATTATTCAAGAGCTAAATCTGCCTATTGCAGGTCTTTCTGTAGGCCTTAAACTGTTAATTAGACAATTTTTAACATGACAAGATCATAATCAAATCTCGATGTCATCTGATGGGTACGATATTAAACAGATGTGAATCCGATCGGCGATTCAACTGCAATTAACGGTTAACTTTACAAATGGATAATCATGGGCTTTGTTTTTTATTGCAACAACGTTAACAATGACAACCGACGCTACAGTGTTTTTGAAATGTGTTCTTCTCGGCTCAGAGTGAAGTAGTTTAACGTCCACTCGACACACTGCTAAGCGAATTATTTAAATAAAATTGAACCACGTGTTTGTTCCGAAATAACCTAGTGGACATGTGATTTTCGTGTGGCGTTAACAATTCTAAAATCTAAAACTAATCTATACTTACATAAACAAGGTGTGAAGTCAATATTGGGGAAGAATTGTTCAAGTAGGTCTTTATTGTCTGTTAATACATTAGCTATTTTCTGAGGTGAACAAGACACACCCAAGGGTTGTAAAACTGATTGGAAACACCCAGTTAAAGGTGTCAGCACCATACTGAAAACAGAAGACACTGATACTTATAGTTTCCGAAACCTGATGTAGATATTGGTAGCTACACGCATGATGTAGTCATATTATACTATGGTTACAACTGTGTTTCAAACTATAAATTACAAGCATACTGTGACCAAAACCTTACAAGCATGAGGTAGTCATATTATATAGTTATGAGTAAATATAATCATGATTCAAACTATAACTTACAAGCATGAGGTGGGCATATTAAATTGAGCGATACTTTTATAAATTGTTGAAACACAGGGCATGGCAATCTCTTTCAGTGTTTCACTGTCATCACAAATAGAAGGTAAGCTGGAGGCATTTTGACTCACAATATAATCTGAAATTATTCATAATATCAATACAATTTCCAGTCACAATATATCAAAACAATTGAGGCTCACAATATAGTCTGAAATGCATTATATTAAAACAATTTACACTCATAATGTAATCTGAAAAATTAATAATATCAAGACAATGTCTGCAATTAATAATAATATCAAAACAATTTCAACTCATAATAAAATCTGAAATGAAAGATATCAAAACAATGACTGAAATGAATAATATCAAAACAATTTACACTCATACACTGTAAAACTTTTTCCGTAAAATTTACGGACAAATGGCTGGCAGCTAGGTTGCCAACCAATGTACGTAAAAATTACGACACACCGTAAATATATTTTTACGAACATGTCGTAAAAATTACGTCCAAAGATTGGCAACCTAGCTGCCAGCCATTTGTTCGTAAATTTTACGGAAAATGTTTTACAGCTGTAAAAAACTTATGGTATGATAAGCATCAAAAAGACATTTACTTAAGATTTAAAACAGAATTTAATTATTCAAAACAATATAAGATACAATTAATTCCTCAAAAATGCTTTTACATGATAGTTTAAGATATAATAAAAGACCTGAAAATACTGGAAATTGGAGATTACTGTCAGTAAGTAAAGCTAACAACTGCCTTAAAAAAAAAAAAACCTGTCAACCACAAATTCATATTTTTAACACATTTGATCAAGAGCAGATTTGATATTACAATATGGAGAATGTTTAGAGATCTAACATATTCTTTGGCTGTCAAGCAGTTTGGTGGTATATTTCAACAAAAACAAAGCTCCTTTCATAATTCTTCATTAATAATAATGAACATTTGTACATGGAATAGTGACGACTTTTAAAAAAAAAAGAAGAGAATTTGTTGCCCTATTAACAAGGGAAATAACTCTCCAAAATATTTATCAAGTTCTCACAAGACAAGCAAACAAAAATTCCCAGCAATTAAAAAATGTATGTGAAAATTTCCATGGATGTATCAAATAATGGGTAGCAACAAAATATAAATTTAACAATAATGAAATTATCCATTCAAATTCTTGTACATGTAACATTTACATTATAATATTTAAATGAATTTTTTTAATAGTAGAACAACAACATTCTGAATCTATTCTACAAATATATAATCAGTGTGTTACAATAGAATTATCCTCAAATCTTTTTCTAAAATCTTAACCAAGGTGTTGTAATATTTACCTCAAATCTATTATTTAAAACATCAACAACATGAAAGTAAATTATAACAGTAAAACATGATCTAATGAAATAATGAAATCATTCAAATTTTTGGAATTAATGAATTTGCATTCTAAATGTTTAAATGAACAATTTAAAATCTAACAATTATTGAACCCCAAAAGTATCATGACTTTAAAACAAGAACAGCATCAATGCAGAATTCCTATTATTCCACCTTAAATGTACAGCTTGTTTCAATGATTAGCTTAATCTCTGTTTGAAAATGTATATCATTAAATTTTCCACAATAACTCTGCCTAAGCATGTACATTCCTTAGTGAGAATGGCATAAATTGATTCAGTCTCGTAGATAAAAATTTAGATGGAACTCGACTACTGACAAAGTTAATGAACCAGTCCCAAAATGAAATGTGTAGATGAGAGTTACACAATTTTAATGTTTATGCAACACGGCCGCATATTTAGAGACAAAATGAACTGAGGATAATTTTACAAATGTACCAAATTGTTGATGGACAAATTAAATGACCAAAAGATTTTTCCATTAAAGTAAACGGACATCTTATCAAAAGTACAATAAGAAGATCAAGTTTAATTAAGAAGATTCATTAAAAAGATTTCTTGCAGTGCGTTTAAAGTCTCATTTACAAAGTATCACTCATAAAAGGGTTGTGGCTCGGTCCCTTATCACCTATTTTATACACACTATGTGCTGGTGTATAAAAACTAACCATAAACTCAATAGGCCTATCCCTAAAGTTTGCATGCATGAACATTATTGCATCATAGGTTGCAACGATACATATCACAGTATTTCTTCTTGGACGTGTTTCCAGCTCCCTAGCCACTGCTTTTCCATCTGACGTTTTTGATTCAAAATGTTCCTATATCCGTGATTTGTGGTTCGCCGGAGGGGAATGTACTTTCAGCGGGACACATGTTTCATTGCCGAAAGCCATCTTTTCTCCTTCTTGTCACATGAACTACAGGGGAGTATTCTGCATCGGATGAAAATGGACAGTTAAAATATCTGTACCATGTTAACCAAACCGTAGTCCAGAATTTAAAGCACCTTGAACCAAAATGTGGCATCTATACCGTCGTATACCTTCTCACAGTACCGGTATATTGTTGCTATTGTTGTAACTGTACTTCATCCATTTAAAGTTTGACAGTTTAGTGATTAGTTATACCACTTTTTGGCACACTCGAGTCTTCCTCTTTTTCATGATTTCTGTGCGTTATCTGGGTTAATTTCAAAAATGCACCTGCAAAACAAATATTCTCAATCAGGTTGTTTCTTATGACATCCATTTCAAAAGAACACATTTTAATTAAGGAAAAGGGAGCTAAATGTGCGAGAAAATGAAGTTTCATGTCCACAAACAGGAGACTAGAGAGAGAGAGAGAGAAATGGGGTTTAACGTCCACTCGACACAAACTAGGTCATTTCAGGACTAACATATGGTTTAATTTTATTTCAATAATTCGCTTGCGCGTAGGGGTCTTTAGCAGTGGGAGGAAACCGGAGGACCCGGAGAAAAACCCACGAGGTTGGACAGGCGACCCTACACATTTTAATTAAGGAAAAGGGAGCTAAATGTGCGAGAAAATGAAGTTTCATGTCCACAAACAGGAGACTAAAGAGAGAGAGAGAGAAATGGGGTTTAACGTCCACTCGACACAAACTAGGTCATTTCAGGACTAACATATGGTTTTAATTTTATTTCAATAATTCGCTTGCGCGTAGGGGTCTTTAGCAGTGGGAGGAAACCGGAGGACCCGGAGAAAAACCCACGAGGTTGGACAGGCGACCCTACTCCTTGCCACGTACAACCGGGGATTCGAAACCACGCCAGTTGACTCAATGACAGACTTTATGGTACAGCGCGCACGTGCTAACCATTCAGCCATCCAACCCCCCCAGGAGACTAAACATATCACAAATACTATCAGTGTATACTGGAATAACCAGACTGCCATTCAATTTGGACATATTTCGCCGAGCATAACTGATTACAAATTACACTAAAAACAGAAACGACTGAATGTAAATCAGTTTATAGACATTCATAATAGATTATTATCGTTGCGACCCATTGTGTTCATTTCTCGGGGCCAAAGAATACAGATTTAGCTCCTTTAAGTTAGGTTGAACTTTTCTGATCATGATTCATATTGGTAGTAGCTGTAACTAACGTAACACCCATTGCTTTCCGGGTTAAAACCCATGCTTTCTTCTATCGTTACCGCATCTTGGGTTTCTGATCAGATTTTTGGACTAACCAGTGGCGACTCTGCACCTATGACAGGTAAATCTAAAAGCAGACTAAAATAGGATTCACCTGTTGCTAATAAGACCTACCCCAAGGTTCAAGCTGGGAGAGAGAAATGGGATTTAACATCCACACACAACACGAACTAGGTCATTTTTGGACTAATAAACATAGAATTTTATTTCAATAATCGCTTTAACCGTAGGTCTTTTATAAACAGTGGGAGGAAAACGAACGACCCAGAAAAAATGAACACGGTTAGTCAGGCAATCTTACTCCTTTCAACGCCACTTGACTCAAAGACATAGGCTTCATTCTGACCTAACTAAGGCCCATGTTAGACCATGGATCTTATATAAGCTCCATGGTTAGACCATTCGTCCAACCACCCCTCAAATTTCAAGGTCCAAGCAGAGGGCAGGAAGTGTTGGTTTTCATTAACAATGCGCTCAACTCCCAAAATTATTATCTTCAGTAAGTTCAATCTTATAATTTTTCTTTACCGGTAGGGCCTACCTTTGAAAAAATTTTACTAACACAGAGAAAGGCTGGGTAGCCCACTCTATAGATGACAGGAATGGCACTCAAGGATGCAATAAGCTGTGCCTAAACAAATTAGTAAAATAAAAAATTAAAGATCATTATCCAGACAATGCATTGACAATTCAATAAATTCTTAATAATGGTTTTCAGTGGTAGGCCTAGCCTACAGACCTGAGACTATGAACTTAATGAAGCCCAGAAATGTTAGCCCTTCATAGTTCATATATTTTTTTTCTATATCAATGTTATTATTATGTCATCCGAGTAGCCTCAACTGGAACTGAAGCCTCCAAAAACAATGCGAAAAAATATTAGGCCTAGCACTAACACCAGAGTGTATGTTTACTCTGTGCTAACACTAACACTGTGACAGTGTATGTGAGTATCATGTATGTCCATTTGTCTAGAAGTAGAAGAGTCTATTCCTACTATTTCATAAATCAGTTACCGTACATTTTTACGAATGCTAAGAATCAATCTATGTCAAACAAAGATGTGTCCCTACTGTATACTTACCTAAAACTGCAATGTTTGGTATTGACTGTAATGTTCAACTATTGTGCTCGATGTTGAGGGATTCCTCTTTGCCGCTAACTAACGGTCTTCGCAGTAATGGCGCCCAGGAAGACCGATGACGTCACTTTAATTTAAACACCCGTATGTCATATTTACGGACGAAATTCTGTATTTCTTAAATATTAACAGACTCGTGTCTGTTATCAGGATAACAGACCTGCGCTGTAGGCGTTTTACAGAAACAAGTCTGTAAAAATTACAGAAAAGGCTTACAGTGTAATATAATCTTAATTAAATAATAATAATATTATCAAACTAATTTACACTCAAAACTATTTCAAAAATTAATCATGTGATGCTTAAAATTGAAATTGTCATCAAACTATTTTTTACTCGCAATAATGAAATTAAATAATACATAATCTAAAATTAATATCAACATCAATACATAATCTAAAATTAATATCAACATCAATACATAATCTAAAATTAGTATCAACATCAAAACAGCTTATACTGAAACTGCTTTAGTGGTCGAGTATCTGACGCTGCTACTTTGTCTTGAACGGAAATGAAATGGGTTCTTACGTACCACTTTTTGGCTGCAATCGAGTTAATGATTAACAGAATACAATTTTTATAGGAAACCATCATCAGTTTTAACATCCTCTTATGATATCAAGCTCAATAATCTACTTATTGTTGAAACGTCGTGCTTTTAGAATAAAACCAGCGATTTCCTCCCATTGTGTTCTGTTAATGCGTTTCCCAGTCGCTATAAATGCTACTTAAAGATTATGTTCGGGCTAATGAAGGCGGATACACGCCATGCGGTGTTCTATTAGGACCCTTTTGCACATCTAGTGGCGTTTTTATCAGCTCTTCGTGAAAACTGATCGTGTAAACGGAGAATCTGATTTTTGCCCAATTCGAACAACTAGACGCAATGCACCCTACTATTTGTACTTTGCCTTGATTGTCCAGCCCACAAGTGCCACGTGAACAGTGACAGTTACAAGCTGTTCTTGGTAACTTACCGGTACATTCTTTGGCGATGCTTGGAATATTTGTTAGTGGAGATTGCTGGTCGGGTAGCTGAATATTAGGCCATGCTGAATTCTGGTTATATGGCTGTTGTGTGGTATATGGCTGTTGTGTCACATATTGTAATGGAGATTGCTGGTCGGGTAGTTGAATGTTAGGCCGTTGTGTGGTATATGGCTGTCGCGTGGTATATGGCTGCTGTGTGGCATATTGTAAAACCATATCAGTGTAAACACCAAGATAGCTATGGAGAGTTGACAGAGTACAGTTGGTTCCTACTCGTTTACTCATACAGTTCAACGACTGGGCATATACTCTACAACATATGAAATAGAACAGATATTGGGCATATAATCTATAGCATATGGAATAGGACACAGATTGGACATAATCTATAACACAGGAAATAATTGGGCATATAATTTATAGCATATGGAATAGAACAAAGACTGGACATAATCTATAACATAGGAAATAATTGGGCATATTGTCTATGCATAGGAAATAGAACAAGCCAACAGTGAGGCTGATGTCCCCCGCCGAAATAGGAAAATAATTAGAGGACACATATAAATTTATCACAAATTATCTTTTACAAAGTATTGAACAATCAAACAGTATATCTTTACTTATAGTTTAAGCATACAATGCTCATTATCGATCTTAGTCAAGGTATTACTGTAATGAAACTATACACCAAGTTTCATCACTCTCACTTAATTAGAACTAAAGTTATAGTGTCCCAAAGCATCAACCAATCAAATTGTTTATCTACTTAATTAGAACTAAAGTTATAGTGTCCCAAAGCATCAACCAATCAAATTGTTTATCTCTGCCTACCCTAAGCGGAACGCACAGTCAAACAGACAGACGTACGAACCCATTTTAATAGTTCCCTGCTTTCTTCGAAAGGCGGGGGACAATAAGCATGAACATTTACTCAATTCGAAGATCAACCAATCAAATTGTTTATCTCTGCTTACCATAAGCGGAACGGACAGACAGACAAACAGACAGACGGACGAACCCATTTTAATAGTTCCCTGCTTTCTTCGAAAGGCGGGGGACAATCAAAGTAGGAGAGTTATTGTTTTCCAAAGTCTCGACCAATCAAATTGCGTATCGCTCTGCTTACCCTGAGCAGAAAATGCTCATTATCAAACTTAGTCAAGGTATTACTGTAATGAAACTATACACCAAGTTTCATCAATCTCACTTAATTAGAACTAAAGTTATCGTGTCCCAAAGCATCAACCAATCAAATTGCTTATCTCTGCTTACCCTAAGCGGAAAATGCTCATCTTCGAACTCCATCAAGGCATTGACCTAATCAACACATACACCAAGTTTGAACATTCTAGCTCAATTAGGAAGAGAGTTATCGTGCCCCAAAGTATCAACCAATCAAATTGCTTATCTCTGCTTACCCTAAGCGGAAAATGCTCATCTTCGAACTCCATCAAGGCATTGACCTAATAAACACATACACTAAGTTTGAACATTCTAGCTCAATTAAAAGTTATCGTGTCCCAAAGCATCAACCAATCAAATTGCTTATCTCTGCTTAACCTAAGCGGAAAATGCTCATCTTCGAACTCCATCAAGGCATTGACCTAATCAACACATACACCAAGTTTGAACATTCTAGCCCAATTAGGAAGAGAGTTATCGTGTCCCAAAGCATCAACCAATCAAATTGCTTATCTCTGCTTACCCTAAGCGGAAAATGCTCATCTTCGAACTCCATCAAGGCATTGACCTAATAAACACATACACCAAGTTTGAACATTCTAGCTCAATTAGGAAGAGAGTTATTGTGTCCCAAAAAGTGTGACGGACAGACAGACGGACAGACAGACGGATGAACCCATTTCAATAGTCCCCTGCTTTCTTCGAAAGGCGGGGGACAACAAAGACTGGACATAATATATAACATAGGAAATAATTGGACATATTATCTATGCATAGGAAATAGAACAAAGATTGAACATAATATATAACATAGGAAATAATTGGGCATATTGTCTATGCATAGGAAATAGAACAAAGATTGAACATAATATATAACATAGGAAATAATTGGGCATATAATCTATGCATAGGAAATAGAACAAAGACTGGACATATAATGTAGAATATATCAAACAGAAAAAAAAGACTGGGCATATAATGTAGAACATATCAAATAGAACAAAGACTGGGCATATCAATTTATAACATAGGAAATATTGGTGTACATGTAACGAAAAGTATCTAAACTAACTTAGATAGTAAGCGAAGCACCTTGTGTCCTTTCAAGAAAATGATTATGGCAGCACCCTAGTAACATAACTAGCTTTTTAATTCGCGTGTGGTGTGGGTGAGGGTGGGGGTGGGGGTGGGGATGGGGGTAAACACAAAGAAATAGCATAAATATTTTACCTGCAGGCTGATGACGTAACATTTTGCAGATATACAAGAGGTGCTAGACAGGGACCAAATATTTGAGGTGAAAGTGACAGTATTGTTTTGGTATCCAAACACGGGTCGTTTAATACGTCCTCGAAACGTTCTAAAATAAGAATAAATATAATTTAAAAAAACGTAGATATACGGTTGTGCGTAGGGGTACACGCGGTTGGACTGGTATCCCCATTCCATATCACGTACTTGGGTGGGCTCCACACCACACCCCTTTATCATGAGTCAATGACAGGCCTTATGATCTATAGCACACACGACATGAAATGGGGTTTAACGTCCAACTGTTCTGCTCTGCTCTGAATGGGCTAATGAAGACGGGCATACACCATACAGTGGGATATGAGGGAAATGTTGCCCTTGGCAGCGGCACTATGGCCTACTCTTGTATCGAATTCCAACTACTATGGGATCTTTCACCTGTACGCCAATGTATACGCGGGACCTCGGTTTCTCGTCCCATCCGAACGACTAGACAACTGTCCTCGTCAGTCCCTCCGTCCTGCACCACTGACAAGGGGGAAACCACGTCGGAAAATCCCGATGATCTTTCTCGGTCAATGTCGGGATCGAACCTGCGACCTCCAGGCTAGCGAGCCAGCGTCTTACCCACTTAGCCACCGTGGCTCCCTATAGCTCACACGTTAAAGCATTCACCCCACCAAATCTTGGGTTACTTTCTGATTAATTGATCATATATGACTTACTATCACAGGCTGATACACTATTCTGTAAGTTGACGTCACTGTTGATTAAGTTCAGAGGATGGATGTTCGAACATCGTCCATTTGTTAACCCCGATAATCTGGCCGCCATACAGGTAATATACGGTAAAACAGTACTTAAAAATAAAACAAGAACAAAAATTATTATGTGTCTTAATGGAACACGTTTAGACGAATACAAATTGTAAGTCAAACACCTTTCGGCATTCCAAATACAAATTGTAAATCAAACACCTTTAGGCATCCCAAATACAAATTGTTAATCAAACACCTTTCGGCATCTCAAATACAAATTGTAAATCAAACACCTTTAGGCATCCCAAATACAAATTGTTAATCAAACACCTTTCGGCATCCCAAATACAAATTGTAAATCAAACACCTTTGGGTATCCCAAATACAAATTGTTAATCAAACACCTTTCGGCATCCCAAATACAAATTGTAAATCAAACACCTTTAGGCATCACAAATACAAATTGTAAAGTAAACACTTTTTGGCATCCCAAATACAAATTGTAAAGTAAACAGTTTTTGACATCCAAATACAAAAGTTAACATTTGTAGACATCTACGTTAATACTGGAAGACATCTCAATTACAAAATGTAAGAAAACGCTGTTAGATACCACAAATCCACTTTTAGACATCCCAAATACAAATTGTAATTAAAACACTTTTAGTTGAATACAAATTGTAAGGTAAACACTATTCGACATCTTAAATACAAACTGTAAAGTAAACACTACACTTATAGACAGATACAAATTGTGAACTAAACATTACGATAAACACAAATTATAAAAGGGAACATTTTTCGACATATTTAATACATAATAGACGGTCACAAATTGTAAAGTAAACATTTATAGACAAATACGAATTCAAAACTAAACACATTTAGACATCTGAAATACAAATTGTAAAGTAAACACTGTTAGACAAATATAAATTGTGAAGTAAACATTTATAGACATATGTAAATTGTAAACTAAACACATTTAGACATCTGAAATACAAAGTGTAAAGTACACACTTTTAGACAAACACAAATTGTAAACTAAACACCTTTAGACAAATACAAAGTGTAAAGTAAACACGCTTAGGCAAATACAAATTGTAAGCTAAACACTTAGAGACACATGTAGATTGTAAAAGGAAACACTTAGAGACACATGTAGATTGTAAAAGGAAACACTTTTAGACAGATACAAATTGTAAAAGGAAACATGTATAGACAGACACAAATTGTAAACACTTTTAGACAAACACAAATTGTAAACTAAACACCTTTAGACAAATACAACGTGTAAAGTAAACACGTTTAGACAAATACAAATTGTAAGCTAAACACCTTTAGACAAATACAAAGTGTAAAGGAACCACTTTAAGACAAACACAAATTCTAAGACGAAACACTTTTAGACAAACACAAATTGTAAGAGGAAACACTTTTAGACAAACACAATTTGTAAAAGGAAACACTTTCAGACAAATGTAAACTGTAAAGTAAACAGGTTTAGATAAATACAAATTTTAAAAGGAAATGTTTGGGGGACTTGTTCCATCTTGTATTATAATGTAAACTCGTTGTTATAAAGTGCGTGCTTATCCCCACCACAGATTAGAAATGGGGTATAAAATTTTACTTTTGATGTCTGCACCAATAAAGACATGCATATTATGCATTATTCTATAAAGCGAAAATTTTCCCCGACAGCTTTTCGTCTAATTCCAACTGTCTAATAGCCTTTTCGTTAACTTGATTTAAACGAAAGTCGATCATAATTATCTATAATGTACACAGAACGAGAAGATTTCTGGTCAATGTAATATGAATAAAGATTAGATAGATTTTTTTTTACCTGCATGGTTGTGAACTATTTCGTGGGTTCAGGTACCCACATGTTGAAGATGTCAGATAATCTTGAACTACAGAACTATTACATAAATCTGGTCCATTAATATCACGTACTGTAGACAATATGCCTCCTTGGTAACCTGTATATAATATACATGTATATAAAATGGGGTTTAACATCCACGCAACTTGGTCATTATCAGACTACAATTTCCCGAATTTCTTGAGCAGTTGGAGAAGACAAAATGACATGCTAGTTCTGCTTTGAGTCATTTCTCTACGAACCCTACATCGAAATGTAATCCTACAAATCCCAGAACACAAAGTACCAGAGTGGTGATGGATTGGGGGAGTGGTCGTCTCTCCGAGCTTATGTGAGGGCGGGGGATCAATATCCTCTGGGCTCCGACCTATGATATCCGTTTTTTTAAAAATAATAACAGTTGCAGTACTCTTCATTGAATTCACAACTGTCAAGTGTTCTTTTACATGTACAGGAATAGGTAGGCCACGGGTTGTCCGTCCAGGCACGTTGTTCTGCATCACTGACAAGAATAACCAAGCTTGGAAAATTTCGAAGAACTTTCAAGGCTAACATCGGCATCGTAACCGGGAATTACTGGTTTGTAGTTGGGTCGTGCCTTACTTTGTGAACTATACTGAGTGTATAATATGGAATGAGTTAAGAATCGACGAGAGACCAGACAATATCCGTTGCAACTCCAAGCCCACTGACAGATTGCAACACTAAAACAATCTTAAGTCATCAAAATGATCTTGAGCGAGTTTTATCTTTGGTATCCCCCTTGCACTATGTTCACCCAAAATAATGTCTTACCTTGACATGATTTTGTATCAAATCCGAACGTAGCCATCATAAAGGATTGGTTGTCTATCGCTAATTGATTTATCCTAGCTACTGAGCACATGGACCATCTAGCCTGTGTGATGATATGGCTACATTGGATCAATTCGGAATACAAACTGAAAACAAACGATTGAAATCAATGAACATAACGTAGATTTGATAAATCATCCAGTTTATAGTATTATTGTGAGTGTCGTTTGCGTGTTTGTGTCTTTGGGTGTTGTCCCGAGGCTCAGATTTGAGATATAAGAGCATGGCTAAATCTATTTGTTAAGGCCAGCTGAATTTTTCTCCAGGTCGCTGAGGTGTAAATAAGTTTAGGGCGCGTGATTGTTGACGAGATTGTAGGTTAGGGTTAGGGTTAGGTTTAAACATTGAGGCTAGGTCCAGGGTTAGGGTTAGGGTTGGGATTAGCGCTTGCCCTGTTTGACCAAACTTGAAGTTGGCCTTATCAAATAGATCTAACCATAAGAGCACATGGACTGGGGAGTGACCTAAACCTGGTGGCGTTTCACCAAAACAAAAACGGCGCGGCAATGCTTGTTTGTTTGTGGTTATTTTACCGAATGTAATAGAAAAAAATGTCGGAGAATGTCTCGAATATCACCAATCACATGACTCCGACTTACCCGCATTTATCCCGAGTCGTGGTATTAAAGGCCGAGATGGTTTCTGCACAATATTGGCCAGCCAAAGAGGTGATCATATCCCACGTACAGGTAGTGGGATAAGATGGCGTCGTCATGGATGGCATTGTTGTATTATCTGCAAAAATAAATAAATATAAAATACATGTACTACAAAACAAAACAAAACAAAACAAACAAAATAAAAATTGAAATGAAATGAAGTGAATTAAAATATATATATAATACATGATATATTATTTAAATAAAGATTGAACTGTATTTCAAAATACAAATAACAAACCTGTTATTCGACAGTTTGTGAAGTTTAATGATGGATACAGTGATGTTATGGCAGGTGCGTTGTTTATCAGAATTTGGGTTACATGTCTTCCAGAACAAGAAATCATGGACGATTTTAAACTATTGATAGCACAATCAACTACAAAGCTCATAAACCTGAAAAAATACAATGACATTTTACACTGTAATTCTCACAATTATAAATGTCAGGCAAGCCTATCTAAAAGACGAAAATAAAGACGAAAAAAGGACAAAAAATATAAATCCGAGTAAGAGCTAATAACCGCTCTTTACTAATTCAGACACGCGTATCTTAAAATCCAAGGTTATACGGTTTGTTACTGTGGATCGCCTGTGCGTTACCGACTACCCGGACGTCTTTGTTAATAAACCGTCACTAATCTGAGCCTCAGATTACAAATTCCGCTTTGAGGAAATTCCAAATACCGAAAATGATTACCTACTTATGTCCATATTCACGATTTTATCAAGTGTCAATGCCCATGCTTTTATTATATAACGTTATGGAAGTATCATAAATCCTGCCTAACGGTCGCCATATTGGATTTCACAATGGCTAGCATTTTTAATCAATTAGAGCTAGAAATTATTTTCGGTTTCTATAATACTTTTCCCCAAGAAATAGCAAGCAAACTCCCGAGAATAACTGAAACATGAAACTTACTGACAGGTCATTTCTTTGTTTGAATTGGGTGGTATGGAAGCCGACTTTAGACAAGCTGCTGATTGGATATATTTCAACATGACATAATCGTTATGACATATAGACATATTAGCATTTGATGATTTCGCAAGTTGATCTGTAAATAAATACAAAAAACAAATTTATGAAAAATGACAGGAAACAGATGATACATGATAATTAACTTACACGTATTAAAGGGCGTATGGCTCTATTTTCCGGAACCATAAATGGGTCTAAAATCACAGATCAATGTAATATGAATGTACATAAAGTGATTTATATTCAATTTATCAAAAGTATTAGTGTAATTTCTAATCAATTAGGCTCTGTGAAATACATGAACAGACCAATTTGTACGAAAGCCCTTTACATCTGCTTAGTCCATTCTACACGTTTTACTTTTTAAATTATTATTTTGTTGTTTGTAAATCAGAAATTACTAATCACTTCAGCATTGTGTTATTTGATATGTTTTTCATTGTTGATTACAAATGTCACCCGAAACCACAGAATACACAACTCCTGTACTGATTATAAAATGTTCACTGTGGCTTGAATATTGGATATTAGGATCCCATATTTTCACGGCAAGAGTTCCGTTAAGTGACAACCTAACGACTGACGTTGCCCACCCCTCATAATGATGGTCCTAATTACTGACCTAGTGAACATATACAGAGAGAGAGAGAGAGAGAGAGAGAGAGAGAGAGAGAGAGAGAGAGAGACTAGGTAATTTCGAGTCTAACATATGGTTCAATTTTATTTCAAAAATTCGCTTGCGCGTAGGGGTCTTTGGCAGTGGGAGGAAACTGGAGGACCCGGAAAAAAACCACAAGGTTGAACAGGCAACCTACTCCTTGTCACGTACAACCGGGAAATCGAAACCACGCCAGTTGAATCAATGGCAGACCTTATGATACATCGCGCATGCGCAAACCATTAGGCCATCCATCACCCCCGCCCCACGACAGTTACAATAATTTCTAAATAGGCAACGTGAGGATAAAAAACAACTGATAAAAGCATACCTTCACAAACACTGAAGTTCATTGTTGTCAGATTGTTCTTCAATAGATTATTAGCTACTTCTGCACTTAGACTATTTGGTGAACATTGTATCCCTTTGTATGATAGATATCTACTCATACACGTCAACCCTCCAACGTATAATCTGTAATAAAACACACAAAACATTCAATATATAATAAAACATTTAACCAAAACCAACTTCCAAAATGATGGAGATAAGCCTTAACGAAAACTTCAAGAAGTATGAAAACCCGAACCGCCAACAACTCTCTGTAATAAACTTCCAAAATAACGGCGATAAGCTTAACCGGAAATTTCAGGAAATATGAAAACCCAAACCACCAACCAGCTTTCTGTAATAAACTTCCAAAATGACGGCGATAAGCCTAACCGGAAATTTCAGGAAATATGAAAACCCAAACCACCAACCAGCTCTCTGTAATAAACTTCCAAAATGACGGCGATAAGCCTAACCGGAAATTTCAGGAAATATGAAAACCCAAACCACCAACCAGCTCTCTGTAATAAACTTCCAAAATAACGGCGATAAGCTTAACCGGAAATTTCAGGAAATATGAAACCCCAAACCACCAACCAGCTCTCTGTAATAAACTTCCAAAATGACGGCGATAAGCCTAACCGGAAATTTCAAGAAGTATGAAAACCCGAACCGCCAACCATCTCTCTCGCGCAGAACCCATACACATGTGTCATCAATACTCAAAGGGAGGAAAATGTACTCAAGTTGAGTTTCACTTTACTTCTGTGAAAAGGTATTTGGTACTGTATACAATATGGTAGACCATTATCAAAATCAGACTGTTTACAAAGTTCAATTTTTATAAGCAAACGTGGTTTTGCCTATATCTGGTTTGTATATAGGACTGCTTCACAGTTTTTTATGCGAGGTACAATGGCTGGCAACCGTGTTTAGCTTAGAGATCATGTTTTATACTTACAGACAGGTATCTGTTAGATTCAGAACGGTATAATTCAAACTCCCCATAAAAGTTAAACAACCCAACATTTCACTATTCCTGGTAACAGCATCTGAACAAGGCACCTCATCTGTAATTAAAATACCAAATATATTTTGCAAGTAATTCTCTATTTCCATCGGCGAGAGATAACTAAATCGATAGCATTAAATGAAATAAAAATGGTATTTAAATGGCGTACTTTGCTGCATTCGCTCGGCTATTGAAGTCGGGCGTAAGCCATGCAGTGTGCCGATCTCAATCGCACATCCAACCAAGGCAAAACCCAACCCGTAAACCACCAGTTTGTGCTTGACGTGTTTCATACTAGTTTTATTAATACCCCGACGCATCTTATTATCTATTTACAAACGTTTGGAGTCCACAAAAGTACGACCTTATAGCCTCATAAAAAGACTTATACAACCGAGGTCACGAGGTGATCTTTCCCAGTGTTAAAAAAGGGATTTCGCGAATCAGTTTGATCAGATATCATGTCAAATCTAAATATAAAGGCGACCTGCAGGTTTCGTCAAAGTCACGAAATGTAAACGGGCTAGGGCACGTGATTGCTGGCGTGGGTTGTGGGTTAGGGTTACGAAAAGCGTTAGGCCTAGGTTTTGGGTTAGGGTAAGGGCTAGCCTTGTTTAAGGAAGGGTACTAAGAAAGATGTGGATTTAAAAAAAATATAATAAATTAATTTTTGATTAAAATAAATAACAAACCTGGTATTGGACAGTCTGTAAAGTTTATTTGTGGAAACACTGAAGTAATGACGTCTGTGTTGTTGACGATAATTTGAGCTACATCTCTTTCTGAACAATATATCATGGACGGTATTAAACTTTTGGCAGCACAATCAACTACAGAATTCATAAACCTGACAAAAAGACGAGAACACTTTAATTATCACAATCAACTACAGAATTCATAAACCTGGTGATATAATAGAAAATAGGGAGAGAGAGAGAGAGAGAGAGAGAGAGAGAGAGAGAGAGAGTAACGTCCACTCGAAACACAAGACACATTGTGCCATATAACAAACAACATTAACTTGTGACTAAATGAAATGAGAGAGAAATGGGGTTTAACGTCAACTCGACACAAATTAGGTCATTTCGGGACTAACATATGGTTCAATTTTAATTCAATAATTCGCTTGCGCGTAGGGGTCTTTAGCTGGAACACCCGGAGAAAACCCACGAGGTTGGAGGCGAACCTACTCCTTGTTACGTACAACTGTGGAATCTAAACCACGCCAGTTGACTCAATGACAGACATTCGCCCCTCCCCCCCCCCCACTCGACGCACGCCCCCTTAAAGAGATGAGATTCCCATGAAATTGTTTATCCAGCATTTTCTCAGAAATAACCAAAACAAGAAAACAACACGAAACTTACTGACAAGTTGGATTTGGTGGTATATTTTCTGACTGTAGACAAGCTGCATGGATAAATTTCAACATGGTGTAATCGTTATTACACATAGTGGCACGAACGCTTGATGGACCAGGAAGTTGAGCTGTAAATCAATTTATTTAATTATTAACACATTTAAATTGGATATAAGACAATTATTTGTGAGAGAATCGAAACAGATTAAACAAAATATAATAATAAAAAAAATCCAAACAGACGATTAAGAGAATCAGTTTCTCAATTTGCCAATGTATGAAATGAAATGGGGTTTAACGTCCTATTGTTCTGCTCTGACTGGGCATACCGCCATGCAGTGAGCTATGAGGGAAATTGTGCCTAATCTTATATCGATTTCTAACAGCCAAGAGATCTTTTACGTGCACGCCAATGTGTAAACGGGGCCTCGGTTTTCGTCCAAACCGGACGAGTAGACAACTGTCCTTGTTAGCCCCCATCCCCCCGACTTGCACCACTGAAAAGGGAAACGCACGTGGGAAAAGCCAATATATGAATATACTGCACAACAAAGAACGAGATGGAGAAAAATGGGGTTTAACGTCAACTCGATACAAACTAGATCATTTCGGGACAAACATATTGTTCAATTTTATTTTAATAATTCGCTTTCGCGTAAGGGTCGTTAGCAGTTGGAGGAAACCTGATGACCTGGAGGAAACCCACGGAGGTAGACAAGCGACCCTACTTCTTGTCACGACCACACTATCAATATACATACCTTTACAAACATTGAAGTCCAATTGTGAGAGATTATAATTCAGTAGCATGTTCGCTACTACAGGACTGAGACTAGGCGGTGAACATCTTAGACCTTGATTTGACAGGTATCTAGTCATACACTTCAAACCTTCACCATATAATCTATATCATAAAATTATAAATATAATATTTAAAGAAGCCAAGTCTCTAACGCAATAGCATCCAAAGTCTTCGACATTAAAAACGCGAATTTTCTGTCAATTCAAATTAATATTGGTGATGTGATCATACCAGCAAAAGATTGACTTCTGATATCCAATATTTAAGACAAAAAAAACCATTTTACCATTGATACATAATGCGTTTCAGCGCCATTTGTAACAAGGGACTCGAGGAACGAGGCTAGACATATCCCACAAATCATGTCAAACGGCTACGTCATGTTCTTATCTAGAGAGCATGCGCATTAAATGCTATCGGTTAACGATTTGCTCCTTTAACAAAATGCACTTCAAGCCTTCGCCATATAATTAGAAGACTGTACATAAGGCGCCTGTCGCAGAAATTGTCAAACACTGCAAATTATCACATCATTTTTTTTATTATACGTTGTGTGATAATTTACGTCTCACAATGTCTGTTATAGATACACAAAATACGTCATGTATAAAAATATACATTATGGAAGATTAGATGAAGAACTGGCAGTTCGCACTATAATAGTTAAAAACTAGATAATGTAAAGGAAATACGCTAAAAATTTCAGTCAAACTGCTTCACTCTAAGCCGAGAAAACTAATTCTTAAAACCATTGTAGCCTCGATTGTCATTGTTACCACTGTCACGAGAATTAACATAGTCTTGATTATCCAGTCTTGCGTTTAATCATCAATGAGCGTTGAACAGCAGATCGGATTCAAATAGGACACATAAGATGGTATCGAGAGTTGATTATTGTCTTGTCATGTTAATAACTGTCTAATTAATAGTTTATATAAAATTTAAGACCTACAGAAAGAACTGCGACGTGCAGATTCAGCTCTTGCGTAATGGATGCTTATAACGTTGGCTTGAAAAAACGGAGTAGATAAGTCATAGTCACAATTATAGTTCATCTTTTTGTAAATAAAAAGGGGACAGATGATATCAAATATCATCATAGTTAGATTTCCCTAATATGGTTTTGTGTCAGCCAAATTTCTAGCGTGAAGTTCCGCTAGAAGGTTCTCCTTACAAAATAAACTATACATTTTTGCAAAGCTTCTAGGTTGGTTGTATGAAGGAATTGATCACAAATTTTATACGGGATCAATATCCGATAAAACTTGCATCACGGCATCCCCTGCATTATACTTACAAACATACATCTGTTAGATTCAGAACGGCGTAGTTCAACTTTTCCATGAAATTTAAACACATTAAAATATCATCATGTCTAGCCACAACACCCGCACAAAATGCTTCACCTGTAAGTAAAGTACAATATGGGTTCAATTTTAGAAATGGGGTTTAACGTCCACTCGACACACACTAAGCGTGTGATAAATATATGCGGGGTGGGGGTGGGGGCGCACCACACGAAAAGAATTTACACAACACAAACCCACGGACAGGCACCACAAACAGTAAGCGCACATATCAGATCCAGTGAACGTCTCCGTGAGCCATCCGTAAGTGTCAATTGTGATGTACAGTCGACAAAAACTACATGTAGGTCATTTCGGGACTAACACATGGTTCAATTTTATTTCAATAATTCGCTTGTGCGTATGGGTCTTTAGCAGTAGGAGGAAACCGGAGGACCCGGAGAAAAGTCACGAGATTGTCACGCACAACCGGGGAATCGAAACCACGCCATTTGACTCAGTGACAGATCTTATGATACAGCGCGCACGTGATAACCATTCGGCCATCCAACCCCGATCAACTTCAAAGACAGGGAAATTTAACTTACTATCGCATATTGAAGTCGTGTCATTGACTGTAAAGTTTTTCACCAAACCCGTTCTGCTGTTTATGGCTGTAACAATCCTTTCCTCCGTACAGTTAGCGCCAAACGTTCTAGTTATATTTCCTGCACATTTCAATAATGACGATGTTGTTGTTACACTGTAAATAAGGATTTTTCAATTAAGCAAATTACATTGTGAGGCGAGATTCTCTGTGGGTGGTGTCCCTTTACTATAACAGAATTACAAATCACATTTACGCATCTGATAATTTTTATCAGTATTTTTAATGTTTGGTGTTGCTACCCGACACGAATTCTATAATAGTTCCACAAGAAATGGGACTTAATATGATAACAGAATTGATTCTTGCGGTAAATGAACTAAATGCCATTTAACGTCATGCATTTCTGCATTAACCGATAGGCAGTGAGTTTTGGGGGCGTGGGTGTGGGTTGCGGACATGTTTATGGGTAACAGCTGATCTACCTACTTGGATTGCAACTTAGAAGAGTTCTCTTACGTGCCCATCAAAATGTAAACGGAACCTCGCACCATCCAACCGATTAGAAGCTCTCCCGTTTCAGTTCTCCTTCCTATACATCTGACGCAGGAAACCAAACTCGAAAAATGTTCTAGGACAACGCCGGGATCGAACCCAGGACCTCCTGGTTAGTGCGCTAGTGACAGCATACTAACTGAGCCGCCGTGGTTCGCACGCCTAGAATCTCTGATCTTTATGCCATATAGATATTCATTTCCAGTATAAATTTGGAGTTCTGCTTCACAGCACGTCCGACAGGCTAGGGAAAAATGTGCAAACTTGTCTCTCCAAAGAACGAGCCTAGCTTATAGGGGATTGAAATGAAATCGTCTTTAACGTCCCATTTTTTTGCTCGAACTGGGATATTGAAGACGGGCATACGTCATGCACTGTAAATTGAGGGACATTTTGGGCGGACAGGCCTACTTTTTTTTCGAATACCATCTGTCAGTGGCTTCTTTTCCGTGCACGTCAATGTGTGCACCTTACCACGCTTTTTTTTTCGTTCCACTCGAACGACTATATTTTGCCCCCTGTCAGACCTTCTGTCCTGCGTCACTGACAAGTGCCAACCACGTCGTCGGAGAATCCCGATTAGGTTTCTCGTCCAAAGCAAGTAAAGAAGATGTTATACATTACCCGCAGTCACTCTGTCCCTGGTTGGTTTGTAACATACATATATCAGATACAATGGTACCAGCTAATAAATCATTATCTTCACAAAGTTGTGGTATAGACGCGATCGACTTCATATAACCTGAAAATACATGTAACGGTTAAAAATTAAAAACATTATCTACACATATTTGTCCCGTGTAAAGGAGCCGTTGACAGTTAAAATTCGATATCAGATAGTAGGCCATACCGCCGCTGTCCGGGCAAAAATTCCTCCATAGTACACTGCAATGCGTGTGCCCGTTTTCATACGGAAAGATGACCAGTAGATTGGTGGATAATATGCATGCATGCTGGTGCGATTAAATATTACGGTTGGTGATTGACTAAAGGAAAGGGAAAGATGGCTGTATTTGATCTTTAACGGGTCGTTTTACATTACCTACCACGACAACTCAGAAGCTGAACAGGTCTCTTGGTATCGCCATAGAAAGATGAAACTGCAGCTAAACCATAAGCGCCATATCCCAACAGCATGTTGATTTGTTCTAATAATATAACAGATATATCATCCACTGAACATTTATTCGTATCACCATATCTCCTTTCTAAACATCGTACAGATTCTACAAACAGTCTGAAATAAACATCGTATAGATTCTACAAACAGTCTGAAATAAACATCGTACAAATTCTACAAATAGTCTAAAATAAATATCGTACAGAATCTACATACAGCCTGAAATAAACATCGTATAGATTCTACAAACAATCTGAAATAAATAGTGTACGGATTCTATAAACAGTCTAAAAGTACACTGTACAAATTCTACAGTCTGAAATAAACATCGAAGAGATTTTACAAACAGTCTAAAATATCGTAGAGATTGGTTGTAAAGATTTTACAGTAGGGTACAATAAGAATGGAGATTTTGTATATGGCAGACAGTCACTGGTTCGTGATCTTATCAGTCGTTGTCTTAATCGATAAATGTGCATAATCGATAAATAGTCAAGAATTATATGAATCATACCAATGAAATGAATTGAATAATTGGGTTCCATAAAGCTGGCCCCCTCTCCACCTTTCCATGTACGCGTTCCAGCGCTCGCTTTCGCCGGTTACATACAAACAGTCAATTATATTTGAGCGACCTTTTCGACGGCGAACATGCGCGCGAACACGTCGCGAAAGCCCGTACATGGAAAACGGGCCTTAGGATGAAAGACTTACCTGCAGAGAGATGAGTGTGGATTACTGCCATGGCGAAGTTGACGAATAGGTGTAAGGCAAGCGGTCATGTCTGCGATATAGTGTGTAGATTTCATACCATAGCAAGAGCCATTTATTACCTGTTCTTTCAGTTCTAGAAAACAGAGACAATTTCACAAAATAGTAGCATTTTATATACCAATATATTGAATGAAGTACCATGTAATCTATCCATACATTATATAAGGTACAATGTAATCTATCCATATAATAGATAAAGTACTATGTAATTTATCAATATATCAGACAAGATACCATGTGATCTAGCAATATATTAGTATACGGCACCATGTAATCTATCATACAGTAAATAAAGTACCATGGAATGTATCCATATAGTAGATAAAGTACAAATTCTATCTATCCATATAGTAGCATACGGTGCCATTTGTGTTGTGGTGGACGCTCTCTACCAGTTTAAAGTGAACGCCATAAATGATAATATATCAAATAATAAAGAATTATTTAAAAAAAAGAAAATCTAACATAATAAATACTCACGGTTACATGCTGGTGCAGCTGAACCAAACAATAGATCGAGGTTCTGGTCAACACCAGTAAGTATTTCAACATATTCACACTTTAATCCTAAACTCGCTAAACTAGAATTTATACAGGGTGACGCTTTCTGCATAGGCCTAAAATACACATTTTTTATAAACAATACTTTTATTCAGTCAATATCTGGTTTTGGATTGGGGAACAGGCTATGCATCTCTTCGATTAGATACATGTTGCTTTAGCTCGAAATGAACCTGGCGGATTTTATGTTCAACTGTGATAGGGAATAACATGCATGTCCCACATATGGACCTAGACCTAAGCCACGTGGAGCGCCATTTTCGAAGTCTCCTAATAACCTGGAAGGATTTTGTGTTAGAACATCATTCTGTATAGATCGATAATTCGGAGTAACATGACATTTTATATATTACTTGTGCCATACATGGGCCTAGATCTAAGCCACGCGAAACGCCATTTTCGGAGTGTCCTAATAACCGGTCTGGATTTGTGTTAGAACATCATTCAGTATAAATCGATAATTTAGAGTAACGTAACATTTTATATATTACATGTACCACATATGGACCTAGACTTAAGCCACGTGGAACGCCATTTTCGAAGTTGCCAAGTAGCTGGGCGAGATTTATGTTAGAACATCATTCAGTATAAATCGATAATTCAGAGTAACATAACATTTTATATACATGTATTACTTGTATGAAAATGAACAAACGACGCCTTTTATCGAATGAATTGACAAATTTATTGATACCATGTAAACCATTTAGCTGACTCCATGAAAAACAGAGTTTGTAATACTTACGCACAAGCCCCTTCTTCGGGTGTCGATTCCATGTAGCAGTCATAAGTAACTAGATATTTAAAAGCATCAACATCTCTACAAGGATTGTGAAAGGGTACATACGTAGTACTGACACCTTTAAAAAAAACAACAATGACCATACCAACTGATTAAATAATTGAATAAATGGAAAAGCGGGTTTAACGCACTACTTTAATGCTTCGACTGGGCTAAGAAGACGGCCATAAACCATACATGGTGATATAAGGGGAAATTGTCCAGATAGCGGCACTACGGCACTCTTACATCGATTTTCAACTTTTAAGGGTCACTTTACGTGCAAGCCAATACGTACATTAGACGTCTGTTTTCTATAATACACAAACGACTAAGAACCTTATTTTATTAACCTTTAAACCTCAAATATGATATAGATATGCAATGTATTTGCCATACTAATTTTCAGAAATATAGAAGTACTGTATTAGTTAACGAACATCGCGAGTTGTGTTTGGATTTTTTCTTTGGGGGGGGGGGACTTAAAGATCATTATTGCTCTTCGCAGAGGATAATCAGAATCAACGAGGCCACCACGTACGGCGTATGGCGGAGTCGAATGCGATATGCGACAGCCACTCAACCCTACCTCGCTCTTTACCAGATGACTAAACATTTTGTTTCCTTGGTAATACATGCAGTTCAAAATGTCGTTGCCTTTCAGTACACCTCCCAGGAATTGGAAGATTTGTTTAATAATTCCGCGTTCTAAGTGATATGGGGGATTAACCAATCACATCTGTTGAGTCTAGCTACAATTAATGAGTGGGTAGCCATTCTCAGCGATAGAAACAAACCAAAACAAAGGTTGTATTACCGAATATTATAACCAATTGGAACACCGATTAATCGAATGACTGGCGTAAAAGGGTCACGACCCCTGACGTGATCTCCTACTACACCGACCTGATTTTAATGCCGTGAAGATCAACGAAATATAAATAACGAATCGAAATAAAGATCCTATATATAAGCAGATTGAGTTGAGCGGATACAGAGAGAAGACACTCGGCAAACCTCAACGGATTCCGTTACTCTACATCTTTTAAAAAGAAGTTGTCCAAATTGCGTCGTTCGAAGCGTGTGTGGAGTTTTTAGTGCAAAGTTGATAAACTTGAAAGAAAAACAGGTTAAGACTTTGAAATATCTGTATGATGAAAAAGTTTTCAAAGGCGTCGACATGGGCAACGCCGTTTTCAATCCAGGAACTTGAAAGTAGTCCCACTGGCGGGCTTCGTCATATAGCCGAGGCCACTTGTAGGGTACTGAAATCTTCTGAGGTTTGCCGAGTGAGAAAGATGACTCACCTGAACAACTGTTTGGGCTTAAATTCAACCAATCAATAGACGGCTGTTGTTGATAATAACCAAGTATAGTATTTATTGTACAGTTCATCTTAAACACATTATTTGTTACATACACCGAACATTTCAATAAACTTTCAAAATGCCTACAAATAAAAACTGGATTATAGCCCATATTAATGGTATTTTTGTTGACGCAATGACGTCTATTGTCGACAACTGACGCAATTTAGCATAATACGACCACCTTCTTAACTATTATGTCAGTACTGGTATTATGTCTGAGAATTCAGCACAATTATAATTAATGATTTCAGACTTTGTTATCGACAAATAACAGAAACACAAAATATGTTTTGAACTTCTCTTTCATTACCTACAGGAAATAAAATGAAATGGGGTTTAACGTCCTAATGTTCTGCTCCGAACTGGGCTAATAAAGAGGGGCATACGCCATACAGTGTGCTAGGAGGGAAATTTTGCCCGGACAGCGGCACTACGGCCTACTCTTATAACGAATTCCAACTGTAAAGGGACATGGGGTCTTTTACGTGTGTAGACACCTGTCCTTGTCAGAAAAGTTTTTTTTTGGGGGGGGGGGACCACGCCGAAAAATCTGGATGAATTTTATCGGCCAATGCAGGGATCGAATACCCGACCTCCAGGCTAGCAAGCCAGCGTCTTACCCACCATTATTACCTACAGGAGACTGACTATTCAATAAGATTCCGTGATATTAAATTATTAAATGAAATGATGTTTAACATCCTTTTTATCTGCGCGGACTGTGCTAATGAAAATGGGCACAAGCCATGCTTTGCTGGACAATTTGACTAGACAGTGGCAATGCGGACTTCGCTTATTTCGAATTTTAGCTGTATGAAACATAGACGACTTACGTGCACTTTTTCTCGGTTGTTGATGATTGGTTGATAACCTTGATAACGTGAGCACAACTTTCACTGATTATGGTTCCAATGTTGGACCAACTAGGACAAGCGTCTCCTGAAATATATCATTTATAATTCACAATATGTTTACTTGAGCTAGACAGAGATGGGGTTTAACGTCTACCCGACACAAACTAGGTCATTTGGGGACCAACATATGGTTCAATTTATTTCAATAATTCGTTTGCGAGTAGGGGTCTTTAGCAGTGGGTGAAACCATGTTAGACAGGTGACTCTACTCCATGCGTACGCAGTGGACCTCCCAACCTCATTACTCGAGTTACAAACGCTGCACATACGTATCTCGTTTATACTCATAAGTTAAAATAAGTTAAATCATCGGTGGGGCATCTTCGGAACATTTTCAACGACTTAATCCACCCTAAAATGACTTGATACAACGAATGAGGCTGAAATCTCTATGGTCAATCCGGTGGCCGAAAGGTCTGTGATCACAACCCCTGAAGCAACAGCACTTGAGGCCGACACCTCTATGGTCACAGCACCTGAGGCCGACACCATTGTGATCAAAACACCGAGAGAGAGAGAGAGGGGGAGAAATGGGGTTTAACGGCCACTATACACAAACTAGGTCATTTCGAGACCAACATATGGATCAATTGTTTTTTTCAATAATTCGCGTCCACGTAGGGGGAGGAAACCGGGGGACTCGGAGAAAACCCACGGTGTTGGGCAGGTGACCCTACTTCTTGTCACGCACAACCGGGAAATCGCAAACACGCCAATTGACTCAATGACAGACATTATGATACAACGTGCACGTGCTAACCATTCGGCCATCCAACCCCGCGTGTTCACAAGCCCTGAGGACGAACCCTGTATGCTGGAAAAGTCAGTGACCAAAACCTTGATCTACCCAGTTTAATATATACATGAATACACCTACTGGAAATATTTGAGGCGGGCGTGGACATTGGCGTAGCAGCAGTCGTGGTATTTTCTGTCTGGAGTTCAGTTGTCAGTTTATCTTGCGGAACAGTAGTATCAGTGGTAGTTTCTGTCCTGGCTGTTGTTGTGGTCTCAGATGTAGTTGTAGCTTTAGTTGGTTCGACTGTCCAGGTTGTTGAAGTCGTAGTTGTACTTGATGACGTCGTTGTTGTGGTAGTTGTACGTGTCGTTGTGATTTGGGGAGCGGTTTTCGCTGTAGATGTACTCGTGGTTGTCGGCTCTGTTGTCGCTGTAGGTGTACTGGTTGTGGTTGTCGGTATTGATGTCGTAGTTGGTGTACTGGTAGTTGTCGGTGCTGTTGTTGTCGTTGGCCTTGCTGTCACTGTTGTTGGCCTAGCTGTCGTTGTCGTTGTTGGAGTGGTTGTCGTTGTTGGGGTGGTTGTCGTTGTTGGTGTGGTTGTCGGTATCGGTGTCGTTGTAGTCACAACTACAACCTCCGTAAACGTTGTATCAATTTCTAGAATATCCTCGGTCGTTAGCCCTGCCTCAGCTTTCTGTTTTTTCACCGTCTCTAAACCTTCCTGAATAGCCTGTTTGATTATATTCGGGGTATTCTTCAGCTCTGCTATTTTAATTTCTTTTTCTGGTGTCGATACCGATTGTTTTAAATGAATAGTATAATTTACGTTCACGCTGCCTGCGCTAAAATAAAAATAAATAAAACGAGGAATAGAAAAGAAATACAATGGGTTTCAGTGACATTTAGTAACTGAAATGGAATATACAGGTCACAATTTCATGGAATACAATCACTTAGTTAATGCTGACCAACCAGTGATACCACTTCTACCTGCATCCCTGATCCGAAGAACAAAAGGAAAATATGTACATGTATGTAACAATCTTATTTTCTTAATGATCTTGCTGGCCGGGTGTGAGACGCTGGCTCGCTAGCCTGGAGGTCGGGTATTCGATCCCTGCGTTGACCGAGAAAGTTCATCCAGGTTTTCCGGTGTGCCCCCCCCCCCTTGTCAGTGATGCCGGATGGAGGGCCCGACAAGGACAGCTGTCTAGTCATTCGGATGAGACGATAAACCGAGGTCCCGTGTACACATTGGCGTGCACGTAAAAGATCCCTTGACAGCTGGAATTCGAGTAGGCCGTATTGCAGCTGTCCGTCAAAATTTCCCCTCATAGCACTCGATATGGCGTATACCCGCCTTCATTAGCCCAGTCCGGAGCAAAACAGTAGGACGTTAAACCCCATTTTCATTTCATTTCATTTCGTGATACAGGGATGTCGGTAGAAGGGCTGTCTCTGATTGGTCAGCATTAACTAAGTATTGTTGTGTGTATATATAATATTTTCTCGCGTTTTCGAATTCCATCTACGTAACAAACGTTCAACCTCGCCCAAACCTATGTGAACTCCTCGGACAAGAAGTGGAACTGGGTGTTCCAAGAAGAGATACTCCAAGCGGACCATGTTATATATACATATGTAAAAAAATAATTTTAAAGCATCCAGGAACAGATCTCAATGGAGCATCGTTACTTTAACTAACATATTACAGAGCTGAATACACGAGTGCAGAGCGACACGAGGTCATTAAACAATATTCAAATTCAAAAACAATGGAATGGATAATACAACTAAAAAAATACAGATTCAATGCCATAAATAAAACATGAAAATCCTTATATACGAAATGTTACTAACCTTAAAGAATGTACCACAGTACGGTTGAACACTGGACCTATTTGACTATTTCTAAATACTTCATCAAGCTGAAAATATAGGATTTTACTATAAATCAAATGATGTGGGGTTGACAGTACTACTTTCCAGTACCATCCGGGTGTATATATGAGGATTTTCAATTGTTAATGGTTCTTTTACGTGCACACATATCTCCATTTTCATGTCATCCGAACGACTAGACAGATTTTTTTTTGCTCTGAACAACAGACTAGCAGAAATCACAATGATATATTGTTACTATGAATCTATCTATACTAATATTTGTGACTGTCGTTTGTCTGTCTGTTTGTCTGTCTGTTCGGGATCACGTGGCTTAGTGGGTAAGACGCTGGCTCGCTAGCCTGAAGGTCGGGTGTTCGATCCCTGCATTGGCCGAGAAAGTTCATTCAGATTTTCCAGTGTGGTTTCCCCCTTATCAGTGATGCAGGATGGAGGGCCTGACAAGGACAGCTGTCTAGTCGTTCGGATGGGACGAAAACCGAGGTCCCGTGTACACAATGGCGTGCACGTAAAAGATCCCTTGGCAGTTTGAATTCGATATAAGAGTAGGCCGTAGTGCCGCTGCCCGGGTAAAATTTCCCCCATAGCACACTGTATGGCGTATGCCCGTCTTCATTAGCCCAGTTTAGGAGCAGAACAGTAGGACGTTAAACCCCATTTCATTTCATTTCATTTGTCTGTCTGTTCGGGGTTGGCGGCTACAGTAGGTATGCCCCGAGTCTGAAATTTGGGGTATAGGGGTAGCTCGGACCGGGGAGTAACATAGGCCAGGTGGCGTTAGTCTACCACTTCTCCGGTTTCGGGGTCATGACCCCCGAGCGAAGCCGGGCATTCTTCTAGTACCATATAATTGAAAAGAACTTGTAACCATATAATGATAGACAGTATGCAAATATGTACAATTCTGTTTTAGACACCTTATCCAGATTTTCCGACGTGGTTTCCAATTGTCAGTGATGCAGGACGGAGGTCCTGGCAAGAAAAATTGTATAGTCTTTCAGATGGGACGAAATTGGGGTGCATGTAAACGAATCCCTTGGCAGTTCGAATTCGATATAAGGGTAGGCCGTTGCGCCGCTTTCTAGGCAAAATTTACCTCAAAGCACACTCTATGACGTATGCCCGTCTTCATTAGCCCAGAAGGAGCAAAACTGTAATGAACCAAATTCGGTTCGGTCATGGTATTGTTCGTGAAAGGTCCTCGAGAATTTGCCAGCCTGGTTTCCATCATGTTCTTGAAGCATCGACTGGGAGTTTTACAATATCTAGCCGTTGCTAGATTAGTCAGAAATTCCCGAACTTATAGGTACGTTATCTCCCTTTACCACAGACACCTGAACAATAGGGTTGTCCAATCAGAGGCCGTGACAAAAAAAAACCACTCAAATCAAACATGGGGATATCAACGGAAACCTTGACCTTGAACGAACTTTGAAACTCCATTGCCACAGGTAGATATTTTCGCTGGAAAGCGCAAGACTTGGTATTCGCGATGATATTTTCTATCGAGGAATCGGAGCGGGAGTCAGTAGTCAATCAAAATTAGTGACGATATATACAGGAAGTGACAAGATGTACGGAGTTTAAGCTAGACCAAGCCTTCGATTAAAGATGGGATTCCGTTTGCTTTTGTTAGTGGTGTTAGACATGGCATCTTGTCGTTAGGAGAAGCACACGCACCAGACATAGCCAAATAAATATCACAAACGACGGACAAGGCCCTTCTCTGCCTACACTGGTACACTGGAAGTGAAGCCGAGAGATCCTGGTTAGCAAGTCAGTGAAACACCACGTCCCCCACCATCCCCCAACCACCCCCCTCTAAAACCAACATGGTATTATTAGTTACCTGATTTTCCATTTCAGCTGCAGTGTTTCTGAATTCATCACTTTCTTTATCCGCCATTCTCGGATCCCAATTATAATTTGTTACCTTCAGGTTCGCCACAAAATCAGGATCTGAAACATCCACAGAATATTATCAGAGATGTCAGAAATTAAACAAATGCAATTGGCCTTAGTCTACATGTGCCCGATACCGAAAGATGTGGAATTTAATGTCCATTTACTATTGACTAGGTCGTTTCAGAATCTGCACACGGTATACCTCTGAGCCAATGAGAGAGAGAGAGAGAGAGAGAGGGGGGAGAGAGATGTGGTTTATCGTCCACTAGACACAAACTAGATCATTTCGGGACTAACATACGGTTCAATTTTATTTCAATAACTCGCTTACACGTGGGGGTCTTTAGCAGTGGGTAAAATCGGAGGACCCGGAGAAAACCCACGAAGTTGGACAGAGGCGACTTGCTCCTTGTCACGTAAAGCCGGGGAATCGAAACCACGCCAGTTGACTCAATGACAGACCTTATGATACAGCCCCCCCAACCGCCCCCCCCCATCATCCATGTAAGAAAAATCAATGAATACCAGCTGCTAGAGGTGACTGTGATTTAGGTGGTGGTGCCCTAGGTATAACTGTCCCATTATCAGTCATCTGATTATCTAGAAAAGACAAAAAAAAAAAAACAATTTCAGGTCAAATATAATTACAGACAAAATATAGATGATAATAAAATTTACAGTAATACACTAAGCTCTGTCAAATATAATACAAACAATGACACGAAATGAAATGGGGTTTACCGCATATAATGAAAATACAAAATATAAATATGATAACATTTGCAGTAATACACCAAGCCCAGTCAAATATAATGAAAGCACAAAATATAGATACTGATAAAATTTACTGTCAAATATAATGAATGCACAAAATATAGATAATGATAAAATTTACTGTCAAATATAATGAATGCACAAAATATAGATAATGATAAAATTTACAGTAATACACCAGTCAAGTATAATGAAATACACAATATAGATAATATAGATAATAACAAAATTTATTGTATTACACTAAGCCTATTTGGAATTCGATATAAGAGTAAGCCGTAGTGCCGCTATCTGGGCAAAATTTCCCTCCTAGCACACTGTATGGCGGAAGCCCGACTTCATTAGCTCAGTCGGAGCAAAACAGTAGGACGTTAAACTCCATTTCATTTCATATTATATTACCGCTATCCGGACAAAATCCCCCCCCCCCACCTTTAACACACTGTATGGCGTAAGTCCGACATTTTTAGCCCAGTTGGAGCAAAACAGTAGGACGTTAAACCCCATTTAATTTCATATCATAACTTACCTATAAAGTAGATAGCAACTGCAAGAGCTGTTATGATTAATAAAACCAGAAGAAAGATGGCGGTGGCTGCTATACAATATCTTTTCCTTCTGACTTTTCTAACATGCTCTTTATCTAAGGCTAATGATTGATCCGATTCGTATCGCTCGCTAGAAACGGGTCGGAAATTTGGGTTATCGTAGGAATTATGTCGACTCGCTACCACTTTTAAATCCATCTTTTTTGGTGTGAAGAAATGCTCCTCTGGTAAATCTTGATACGGTCCTAAAGTAATAAATCTCTTTCCACTGCTCTTTCTATTCGACATTCTTCCTACAATATAAAATAAAGTACGATGCTATATAATAGTTCAGCACGCATAGAACATTATAAAAATTTCATGACGGTGAGTTTGAGTTATATGCCATTTAATGGTATTAGCCAAACATTGCGTTAGAGCTATATGCTTTAGAAGAACATTACCCAAATATTGAGTTAGAGCTATATGCCTTGAATAACATACCCAAATATTGAGTTAGAGCTATATGCCTTGAATAACATTACCCAAATATTGGGTTAGGGGTTTATGCCCCTTTAATTAATGATAGTACCCAAATAATAAGCTGGAGTTATCTGCCCTTTAATGATATTACCCAAATAATGAGCTGGAGTTATATGCCCTTTAGTAATATTACCCAAATCATGATATTAACCAGATATTTATTATCCAAATATTGACTTAAAGTTATATGCCATTTAATGGCATTACCAAAATACTGAGTTACAGCAATATGGTTTTTAATGATAAAACCCACATATTGAGTTACAGCTTTATTATGTTCTTCAATGATATTAACTCAAATGCTGACAGCCACATACACAACGTACGTTTTGTCCAGTTTGCTGGCATGTGTATTTTGGATCGTGAACATTGAAATAATACTGACAATGTTATTTTTCCACAGTTTTATTATAAAACTCAATTTCTTACCTTTAGGACGAAGTGTCCAGGGTGATCTATATTCGGAACACTTATAGGCAGGGTCTAATCTCCAAGGTGATGCAAGACTTTGTGGATAATGGCAATAACTAAGAGCTACTAGACCAACTGGTTGCTTGTGTTTTTCTTTCTTTGTCAACGACTGAAACAAAATAAATAAATTGGTTTAATGATTTATATTAAAATCCTTTCAGGTAAATTAATAGCAAGGTTTATTCACATATATATTCTGCCACGTCATTGAGCCAATGATTCACGCCGCGTGATGTGTCGTCACATGTTGAAAGCAGTCATATTAGAAGACTTTCGCAATCTTAAACCGATTGATGTTGTGGATTTGAAACCAAGAGTGTTGGGACCAACCGTAAGTGTTCAGACACTTTGTGTGTCTGAAAGCAAGAGTATTGCAATCCATCGTAACTGTTCAGACATGTTGTGGGTCTACGAAAAACTGTACTGGGACATATTCGTGGGACTGCGACCGACAACACTGGGTCTTAGAAACAGACGTATGCGGACCAACCGTAAGTTAATCGTAATTCTTTGTGGACTTTTTGTGGACTATTTCGTCTGACCCAACAATTACGATGGGCTCAAAATTTGAAAACATTCCACATAGTTTAGTTTCAACGTATATTAATATATTGGCATCAGATTTTTTCCGGCTACATCGGGAATCGAACCCAGGACCTCATGACTAGTGAGCCAGCGCCAATACCCACTGAGTCACCGCGGCCCCTCTCTCCCGTGTCTAAAATAAAACTAACACAAGGTACAATTTTATGGATACACAATTACTGAGTTTAATACTAAGCGAAGTTTACACGAGGATACTTTCGTCTTTATCAAGCAAATTCTGTATATACTTGCCGACTATTCACATACCCGCGAGTGTCCTCGTCGAAATGTCGCTTAGTATTAAACTCAGTAATTGTGTATCCATAAAAATTGTACCTGGTGTTGTTAATATCTTGAATTACTAAATGCCAATCAAAGAAGATAAAATAAAACTAGTTATGTTTAATACTTGAGATAGTCCACCCGAGTCTTTTATAACTGAGTGTGAGAGTGATATTAATCTACAAAAGATGCTAAGTCACGTATATATCTTTTATATACATCACTTGTGTCAACATCAATATCAGGTTTCAATATTATAAAATTCTTTACTGATCCATTGATAACAAGTACGTCATATAATTATATCCGTTTTTTTGTACCTTTAAAATATTTCCTAGAAAACCACCTACCAGTTACACAATTGCTTTGTCTGAAATGGGTTTTAACGTCCTACTGCGACAGGGCTAATGAACACGGGCATGTGCCATACACTGTGTTATGTCGGAAATTTTGCCCGGACAGCGGCACTATTGTCTACTCTTTTATGAAATTTCAAGTGCCAATGTATGTCGCCAGGGTATACACGGAACCTCGATTTTTCGTCCAATCTGAACGACTAGGCAGCTGGCCTTGTCAGGCCCTCCGTCCTGCACCACTGACAAGGGGAAAACACGTCGGAAAATTTCTATGAACTTTCTCCTCCAATGCAGGCATCGAGCCGGCATCTCACCCACTTAGCCACAAGGGGAAAACACGTCGGAAAATTTCTATGAACTTTCTCCTCCAATGCAGGCATCGAGCCGGCATCTTACCCACTTAGCCACAATGGCTCCCGCTTTGCCTGAAACAAGCGCACGTGCGTGCGGCGGCTCTCTAATCTGTAGTTCTCAAGATGCTACAGATTTTCCGATGAGGTGACCCTATAGCAATTACCGTGTTTAGTCGTATTGAGAAGAAAAACGGGGCTTGCATTAAAAGAACCATTTATAGTTTGAATTCGAAACAAGAATAGACGGTAGCGCCGCTATCCGGGCAAAAAGTTCCCTTGTTCCAAGTTTTTGAAGTCTTTTAACTGAGCAGAACAGTAAGGCGTTAAACCCCATTTCATTTCATTTTGCGTACTTCTAGCTTGAAACATCCTGGTTGATTAACTCCATTTTATTTCGGTTAATTGCGTTTCATTGGTGAGAATCTGGAACATTGTAAATTATGAATAATGCTCTATTTGTGGTTCATGACGAATGACATACGAATGCCTATAAATGTGTTGTTTTGATGTATAAGAATCCTGTTTATCCACGTAAAAATTACAGGTATGCTCTTCCAGAGATATAAACTGTCAATCATTACGAGAGAGAGAGAGAGTTAACGTCAACTCGACACAAGCTAGGTCATTTCGGATTTCGGAACTAGACAGAGAGAGAGAGAGAGAGATGAGGTTTAACGTCCATTCGACACAAACTAGGTCATTTCGGGACTAACACATGGTTCAATACCGGGAAATCGAATCCACGCACGTTGACTCATTGACATACCTTACGATACAGCGCGCACGTGCTAACCATTCGACCATTTCCCCTCCCCTTTTTCAGAACACAAGGTTCAATTTTAATCCAAACAAACCCTTGTGCGTGTTTTTGGGTGGGGTTGTTTGTTTTTTTTTTTTTTTTTTGGGGGGGGGGGGTCCAGTGGTGGCAGAAAACCGGAAGAACCGTGGAAAACCCACGAGGATGGACAGGCGACCTTACTACTTATATAACGTTTAAGTGGGAATTGAAACCACACCACTTGACTCAATGGCAGACTTTGTGGTTTAACGCGCACGCGTTTAACCATTCGACCATCCAAGCCGCGCATTTTTTTTTTAATACATTATATAAAAGTGTTTTTTTTTTTGGTTTTTTAAAAAACGTATGTTTATGAGAAAAAGGAATCATATGTCTACCTCTTAACGTTTTTTTTTTTAAGGATGAATTTTCAAGAAAAGGCATAAAGTTGTATAACTATTTGAAGAATGCTATAATGTCTAAGGCCTGTAGCAGTAATTTAAAATTGACGAATTAGACGAAAGATAAATCATCAGAGTGCACGGGTAACATAAATTAAATATGAGAAGTCATGTCAAAAAGAAAATATACGTATATAATTATGGAAGACCAAACAGCTCTTTATTCAGTGTTCTTAGTACTTATTTCTTAATTCATCGTCCTTATAAATTCTTATCTCTTCAATTGTTGTCGTATTTCAACATTTGTATACTAAAATCAACATTTGTATCTTAAAATCAATATTTGTTTTACAAATCAGACATTTGTCATATCAGATTTGTAAAATGTATTTTTGTTTAATTTAATTTCATTTCAACACAAATTTACTGTTATTTGTGTTTTTAGTGACATGATTTTGGGCGAGCAGCTAGATTGACTGGAGGAAATTTGTTTTGCTACGGCTATTTTCTTGTTATTGGCTACATATTCTTGAATATTGCGCTTTGAATAATCTTTCATTTCCATTGAGAGATAATTATCTTTTGATCCAATTACATCCGCGACCTCAAGGAAATAACATTCAAGCGTTCACGTGGTTTTAGATCTTTGCTACGCCTGATGAATTATGTGTATATGCGGCATAAAAGTTCAAATTATTTCACATTGAATCATATCTAATAACAGCCTGGGAAATATCTAGCTCATTGCACTCACACTATATTTTAACATTGAGGATCATATAACCGTCAACTTCTCACGTTATGGGTGTCACCTGATCCCGCGTTCGGTCTGTGCTCTAGTAACAGAGAGAGAGAGAGAGAGAGAGAGAGAGAGTGGGGTAAGGTCCACTAGACACAAACTCGGTCATTTCGGGACAAACATATGTTCAATTTTATTTCAATAATTCGCATGCGCGTAGGGGTCTTTAGGAGTGGAAAAAAACCGGGGGACACAGAGAAAACCCATGAGGTTGAACAGACGACCCTACTCCTTATCACGTACAACCGGAGAATCAAAACCACGCCAGTTGACTCAATGACAGACCTTGCGATACAGCGCGCACGTGCTAACCATTCGGCCATCCAACCCCCCTTCTTAGTAACAGGGCACTGGGTTTAACGTCGTGTATTTTTTCACCAACCATCCGTCTTCATATCCCCAGTCGGAGAACAGTAGAACGTTAAACCCCATTTCCTATTGTTCTGTGCCAACCTGGCTGATGAAAACCAGGCCCCGAGTTTTCAAATGAATCTCAGACTTAAGTTAAGATTTGTCTCAACTTTCAATCACTGTTTATGAAAAATATCTTTCACCCAGAACCACAAACCTTGCACATAGTTTCTAATTGATGTATTTGATACATTAAAACAACAAAAGTTTTATAAGGGTTATATTTTAGTTAAAATAAGGCTAACAATTTTGAGTAAATTCTTTAATTAAGTCTGAGAATGTTTTGTGAACTGGGGGCCGGGATAATTGTTCATCCTGGGTGAAATGTAACCGAAATTTTTTATCCTAGTCTAGTAAACGTGTGTAATAGTATTTTGATGAAAAACACGTCGCTTAATCTGTATTTACAGTACTTGATGATCGAAGGTAATTTGACGTCATGTGTTTTCGGTGGTTTCCCTCGACTTTTCATCAAACGTGATCGAGATAATGACAAGAAATTTTTCTTTTATGACATTTAATATTCTATTCATTTAAGATGAGTGGCAGTTCACGTACGCGGTGATAGTAGGACGGTTTACAAAGAAATCAACAATTTGAGCAAGTAATGGCCTTGAACAGCTTGGGCTTGCAAAACATGTCAAGAGATTTCGTTATATTTTAGACGCACAACATGGGGGGAGGGGGCGAAGTCTCTAGAACCCAATATCACGGTTATTTTCAGACTGCGTGGGGAGGTGGATGGAGGTGTGTGTGGGTGTGGGTGGGGGGGTTCCCACCAGGGGCGGATCTAGGAATTTTAAAAAGGGGGGGGGGCGCAAAATGAGGGCACTGACCGCGGAGACGGGGCACGCCGCTGAGGGTTTATTTTTGTTTTGTTTTGTTTTTTTTTTTGGGGGGGGGGCCGCTAAGAAAATTATCCTTCATTCCCTTGCATCTGTAGCCATTCCAGGAGCTTTTGACTGATATTTTCGTCTAACTCTAAGTAAACGTTCGTAAATCAAGCAAAAAGCCAGCTGAACATGCGACCCGAAAATTGTCAAGGCGAGCGAGGTATTATGATGGGAAAAAGGACGAATCTATTCCCTAACCCAGTGATTCTCAACCAGTGTGCCGCGAGATCTTCCTAAGTGTGCCGCGAAAT